CAGTACACAAGTGATCCCAAGGCCAGAATAAAAAGAAGAAGAAGAAGCAGACGACAAAACACAGATCGTGCAACTTGCAGACTTTGAAAACGCGCAAGCGTCGGCTTTTTTTTTGATTTCGCAAAATTCTACCGAAATTATAACATTTAAAAGAAATAAATTTATTACAGGGTTTTTATCCATCGTTAAAAATTTTTTCGCGAACCATGGACTACGAACGTAACAGAGCGTTTCCATCGGAGACCCAATTTTCGTACATCGAAAAGAAGCGAGCGATAAGACAACCGTTAGTTGAGATCCAAAATAATTTACTCAAGAAAAATGCATTAATTGTTCAAACGATTGCAGATACATACCGATAGAACACTGGCCGGAAAAATACGAGGCGCCTAAATTGGACGAGAGCGCGAAAAAATTGATTAAAAAATTCATCTTGGAACGCTACGAAACGACGAATCAACGATTTTTCAATGCGGAATGTTTGGCTGGACGCAGCAGGATCACGAGCGAAAATGTCGAGAACGAAGAGCCCGACGCGGGTAGCGAGTTGATCGCTTACATCAAGCATCTGTACATGACTCCGCCCAGCGATCAAATTCGACGTTTGCCATACACGTCTACGAGAGGTAACGATCGAAAAAAAAACCAAGACCTCGTTAAAAATTATCGGTAAAAAAAATTTTCCTCGCAGTCTTCGGATACGCCACACCTCAGAATGGTATACTGTCGTCTTATCAAGACAGTTACGGCTTGACCGGTGGAAAAATCATGATGCAAAATCTTCAAAAGATGTCTCAAATGATCGAGAGACGTCGTCTTCGCGCCAAATTGCGAGCTTACAATGTCGGAGCATAAAATCCTCACTTGATTAAATACAGTTTTAATTTTTTCATTGAACTAAAGAACAAATTCGTTGTTTATTTTTCTTTTTGTCGCGACCGTCAATTTTAAATGTTCATAACCTGGATCTTTATTTACCAAAAAATAATAAATAATAATTAGCTGTGCCAAATTAAAGTAAAAATGATATTCGAGGACGAGGGCGAAATTCGTGATTTCGTAACGACTACACGAAGAGACTTTCAGGGAAGAAAGATAAAACCGATTTTCAAAACAAAACCATTTTTCACCGAATACGACGAATCTAATTCTGTTACTGATGCTTACAAAGAATACTTGCATACCAAGAAACATAGCGAGCGTTTACCGTACTCTCAACGACTAGAACCATCGGAAGTAGTTTTGAAAAAAGTTAGTCCGTTGTATTTTTTTTCATTGTTTATTGCGATAAATCTACTTTCAGTTTTATTGTTTTTCAGCTATTGAAAGAAAAACCATACTTGAGCAAATTTATTCATGGTCCTCCAAACGAAGAACCAGTTGACCTCCGAAAACAACATTTAGCATCAAGTGTCTATCAAGATGAAATTTGTCACATTGTTGGTAAGAGATTTTCGGGAAAATATTCATTATTGTGAATTTACATAGTAAAGGTTTTCATATTTTTCACAGACAATCCTCAACTATATTTTGATCGTGTCGAAGACAGTGTTGAGTTCACAGATGATTACGTTGTTCCAGAGTCTACTCAGCAAAGAGCATTTAGACATCCTCGGCAATTTTTAAAGAATTACATTTTTGCCCGGCGACCTGCGACAAAATTACCCAACAATTTGGTTGTCAATGAAAAAGAACGAGAAATTTTAAAAGTCCAGTAAGTAATTTTTTATTAGAAAAACATCGTTTTATGTAGTTAAAATAAGCAAATTGATATAGATTACAAAATTAATTTCATTTACATTGAAAAAGATAAAGAAGTTCAAAAAAGTGCTTATAAATCTAGCATAAAAAAAGTTTACACTAGAATCTAAACGCTCTCTTTTTTAAATCTATAATAAAATATTAAACTGATGATTTAACATTTTTTATAGCACTGGTTACACGGAATATCAAGATTTTATCGGGAAAACGGGAACAGAAGTAATCGAAAATCAATATTTTGGTCCTCCGTTGCCGATAGAACCCCCAGAAAAATATATCAAAAGTTCAGACAGTTCTAGATCAGTTTGTTCATTAATTCTTAATAAATCTAAGCCTCCCCTGTCGCAAATTATCTAATAAAATACAGTGCAGTTTTTATAATGAAAATTATGTGTAAAAAATTTCATCATTTACACGAATTATAAAATATCTTTCCTTATTCAATTAACTTTAAGATTGCATCATACATACGCACTCTTTTTTTACTCACAGATCTCACATATTTACACTTTCAAAAATTCTACAATGTAGACTGACAAAATTTACAATATACAAGTTTAGATACTTTATCCAAGCTATTTATAACTAATATGAAACACAACCTAGTCTTACAGTTGTGATGATTCATAATTAATTTATTAATTAATTATGTTCTTAGTATTAAAGTCGAAAGTACATTGCAGGATCTTCACAGTGTACATTATCAGAATGACCGGAAAAATTGTCTTAAGCTTTCAATAAGCTAAGCAATCAATTAATCAATGATTTAAAATCATTTTCTTTCAAAGTGTCAAAATATCACAAGTAAAATTTCCAATACAAGTCCAGTAGAAATTCTAGCAAAATTTTTTTTTGGTTTCTTATCATTTAATATCAACTAACGTTCCATCACTCATAATATCTGGTAGAACATCTCTTCCTCCATTCTAAAAATTGTTATTTCATTAGTATAATTGGTTATGCAACAAGATTTTTTTATATATTTAATCTTCATACCTCAATGATGATTGTTGATGTTATATTATCTGCACTATGTTGCATTGAATTAGGTGGTAAACTTAAAGTTCTTAGAGAATTATTACTAGTTGAAGTTGCTATCGTTTGTTGCTGCATAACTGAGTTGTTGGAACTATTATTAGCTCGGCTAAAGAATGAAATATAAAATTTATAGTAAAATGAGTTCAAACATTTTTTCAACAATGGTACATAATGAAACCAGTTTTGAAGCAGCATACACAATTGTTTTGTATTGTCAAACACTAGTTTTGAGTAATTATTGCGCGGAACTGCTTTTTAAACACATAACAAGTTTTTAAGTTTTTGTACACTAACTCACTTTCTCTTTTTTACTTGTCCAGAATGAAAACGACCACCTTCACCTCGTATCCTATTCATCGCATGTCTATGTCTCGATTCATGAAGATATTTCTACAAAAAATTATCAAAGTTATTTTGCATTCTTTACCAATAAAGTCAAGCATTAAAGATGCTTACAGGACGTTCTTTAGGAATTTTCCCTTCAGCTTCTAATTTTGCTCTTGCCTGTCGCCGTTTCAAAATTCTTTTGTACTGCTTAGCATTGACATAAAGAGGTTCCTCTTCAAGAATCTCTGCTGCGTTGGGAAGGGCAAGCCTTTGATATGTTGGTGTTGCACCATTACCAGGTACCATCTGTGATTTATGAAAAAAAAATAGTTTAAAAAATAACCAAGTAGATTTTTATCTCTAGAAAATTTTGCTCATATAATGAATACCATAACAATATTTCCTGCTTGTGTAGCTGCCGCAGGTGCAGCTATTTGTTGAACCTGTGCAGTTGTTGCACTGTTTTGAGTTTGTGGATTGGCTATTTGCATTAGGTTCCCATTGATATTGATTACTAGAAATATATATTTATAAAAAAATCAGGACACTTTATACAAAATAAAGTAATTGCAAGAAAAGTATCAATTTACCTGTTGGTTGAGCTTGCTGCTGTACTTGACCATCAAGCTGAACTGGTTGGTAGATGTAAGTTTGGCCATCAGGTGTTTGAATGATTTGAGGTGTCTGTGGTTGTTGAATGACAACCTGATTAGGTCCACCTATACTTGACACAGGAACCACTTGAATAGGCCCATTTGGCGATGCAATTTGCATTGTTTGGGGCATCAACATGGTTTGTCCACCCTGACCCATTTGCAAAACTTGAACTGCTCCACCAGCTCCGCTAACCATCACTGTTTGGCCTTCGGACAGCTGGTCCATAGTACTTTATTTCATAAAATCTGTATTGCAATACAATAAAAGAATGAATTAAATTTTTTTATTTTTATCATGAAAATTATATCTTTTCTATGCTTTTTCCATTACACTATCTGATTCATCAATTAGGATATTCATAAAGATAGCCGAAATATTTTTTCATCTAATGTTCATGAAAACGAAAATTATCCTCTGACAAGGAAAGAACATCATTCACTGCATAATGAGATAATCCATCGATAACGTATTAGATTACCACGGGCGTAATGGTTATTGATCACATAAGATCATTGCATGGATAAGCTTTAAGGCCGGGGTTTCCTATCGTACACCCATTTATTTCTGTGACTCCGTAATTTTGGGTGTGTATTTAATGCGTTTGAGTGCATGTGATATAGTACAGCTCGAGACAATGGACATACATTGTATACACCATAGCACCCGACATATCGCGATGTATACAACACACGCCGCAAGTTCGAACGGTGTGTGAGTGCAAAAGGCAAAACTTGGCAGATGCCGCCGTCTTTGTTGCACTCGTGCCGTGGGGCAACCGCGCCAACGCGTCACATGTATACACAGTACGCAGTGACATGCACATACACAAACGTAAACACACACACAAATACCTCCGTATACTACGCCGCATATAGATATGAAGTTATGGGAGCGTAAAAAGACAGCTCCATATAACTTCACTCTCGTCTAAGCACTTTCGTTCGGCACCCGATTACGTTATCCATTTGCGAACAACCGGATTTGGAGCTTTATTGAAGGAATGTTATGACGCCGACAGTTGCGGAACGTTCTCGAATTGCACGCGTGTGCCTACACTATTTTCCTGTACATAGCACTCTTGGTACACCATAATATATACGAGAGCAGCGTATACGATGCATTGTGTAAAGGACGCTTCCTTATATCCTATATACATATGACGCTACGCATCCACACGCATACAGATATGATAACCAGTATTTACCGTGTCGAGTCGTGTATTCATCGCAACGTCGGCGAGTCATTGTCGACGACGCACACAGACGCACGCGGCACACAAAAGACAACAATCATTAAAACACTTGAAAGATTAAACACTTGCTGCCGCTATACTTGCTGCTGCAGCTAGATCGTTGGCAGTTCGCTAACCTCAAACGCCAACTGACGTTCGGGGCAACAAACTTGGCAGCTACCTCGACGAAAAACGTCGTCATTGTCTGTTCTTCTTCGCGATGCTGCTGCATCAGTCTCTCGCGGTATGACCAAGGTGAAATGCCAACATGGCGCGAGAGCGAGTAATGTTGTTTACCAACGAGATTCTACACTTGGCGGGGTATCACAATGTTGAGGAGAGAGAGAGAGAAAGAAATAAAAATTCGAAGTTGAAGAATAGTTAGTAGCAAAGAGATTGGGTTATTTAATCGTTGCGTCAGCTAACAGCGATCGTCGAGAATCGCTTGACATGACTAGATTCCGCGATAGACCGCGTGAACAGACAAGCTTTTGCATAACGAAGAATTAGTATCGCGAGACAACAACAAAGATTGTCCTGTCAAAAATCAAAGTTAGTCAAGAACGAAACGACTGGTCGCAGTTAGTATATAGCGTGGGCCAATAAGACGTCACTAATCGAAGTAATCCGCGACTGCAGCCACGTTCTTCTCTACTTTCTTGTATTAAATAGCAACTATTGGACAGATCGCTTTGACGGTTGGCCCCCGGGGGAGACTCAAGTTCAGCTATCAGCAGCAGCAACAGCTAACAGCAGCTTCGAAATGCCCGAGGAGAGAGTGAGAATCTCGATAATAGTTGGGTATTGGCTCGTTTGGCATATATAACATTTAATTCTCAACTTACATTGGACGCTGTTGCGCTCGTTGCGGGGATCGCTCGCTCGCTCACTCGTCGGCTCGGTCGAGCTGCTCAGCGCTGGATAGGTTGGCTCGCGGCCCGCAGCAAAAGCACTGAGCGAACAAATAGGCAGGATATTGGGGCGGTAGTCGACGGACCAATGATTACGAGGCGCGCCGCCGGTCACATTGGCCGAAAGCGCATACTGTAATACGAGAAGCCAGCGAGCGAGCGCACCAATACACTAGCACTATCCTATGGCAGTGGCTTGGTGTGCGTAACTCTCTTTCTCTTTCTACGCAACACAAGTACTGCGAGTGACACAGCACACAGTGTGTGTGTGTTCGTGAGTGGGATAATTCGATATGCAATACGTGTAGCTCCGCCGTCTCCGTCCCGTACTGTCGCACAGCTAGCGGTGGCGTCGCAGTGCGTGCGTGTACGCGAGGCCGCCTTCTCTTCTCGTTCGATCTCTCCGCTGACTCGCAGGCGTCCCGCACCGAGCGCGCACATTTGCAGACGCGTCCGCGGCGCCAAGTTCAAATCGACGAATAATAAGCTGGCCGCGGCACGAGCCGTGTGCATTGGCTCGTTACGCTTTTATGAAGCCGCGCGCTACTACTCTCGAGCACGTGCATACCCCGCGATACCCTACAGAAGCAGCAGAGCTACTATATACTGATTCATTATGAGGGCGATGAGTTTGTGTCCGTGTGTGGGCTGCAGCATTAACTAACACACACATTTACACACACACATGCTCGGACCCGACGTTATTAAAAGTTTACTAACTCCTATTCATTATGTGATCGAGCCGCCCATTTTTGATGAGATTCCCGGTTTGTCGCCGGACTTCCCTCTTTTTTTTGTTGGAAAAAGGGAGGAGTCGACACCCACGCGCTTTTCCTTCGATATAGAAGGGGACTCTCTTTTGATTCGGCCGGACAAAAGAAAATTAGTGGCCTTTAATCTTATGGATCGTATGTCAAGTGATTCTTAATGACATCTCGTAAAACAATAGATTCATCATTGGATCGTTCATGTGTGTGCTTTCGAGAAACGTTACTCGATTATCGCTCTTTGATTCATGCGTCATACATGGATCAGTAGCTATCGTGTTTACGAGAAAAACGTTGCAATATTTTACTTTTGTTCGAAGTAATGAGTCGTTAGTAATTTGAAATGAGTTTTGTATCAGTATATTTTACAAATTATTTATAGGTGTACAATTATTATTAATTTACATTTTCATATGAAAGTTTCATACTTCTAGTAACATAACACTTAACACTTACGAAAATATTTGTTAATTTATTTTAGCTCTGCCTAGAAAGGACATGACTTTTTCAATAGAATTTTAAAGCATTTATAAAATAATCTAAGAAATGAGTCTTCACAAGACGAGTGATCTATTAGAATATTTGTTTTTAAAACAAACATTACATATTTCTATTGTAAACAGTGCATACCAATTCAAGTAAATTGATAAAGATTTATAATTGTTTGGAAAAAATTATTTTTACACAGCTTTGGTCTAATTATAAAGAGATAAAATATTATGGTAAAATAGACAATACTTAAAGTAGTTACAATCTTACAGATAAGAACAATTAATATCTAAGAGTTAATTTGGAGATGACTTAATTGATGAACTAAATAACAACTGATCTTTCTATTTTTATACAAATCGTCTTAAAAATTCATTGCATTTATACAAACAGTGATTGGACAAATATAGTGTTAATTAAATAAACTATATGCTCAATATTCATCAAAAATAAAAGAATAAATATCAATAATGATATTATGAATAGATAAGAATCTAGCTTACAGTAAAAAAATAGTTTTGTTGTGAACAATGAAAAACCTCACAAAACTTAGTTCATAAATAAATAGAAAAAGCACTGAACAATTTTTAATTTCTCAATGATTTTTTTTTTATGCACTCACTTAATCTGTAAAGTATGATTTTACCCATATTCCCATTAATTCATCTTGATGTTTCAGAACTTGAGTGGATGAAGTGCGCACTAATTTACCAGTGCTTTTGCATGGAGAATATAAAGATCACGATAAAAATGGAACAACTAAATCTTCTTTGTGTTCAACTTGGACGTTTTCTAAGGCTAACACTGAGTTGTGTAAGAAGTTCATGATCTATTAAAGAAATTGTATAATATTATTAATAATGTTTTCAGTTATTATTGATAAATTATAAAAAAATTTCAATTTTTACAACTCACAAGATCTTTATCTACTGGATTTAAAGTTGCAGATGCAAGAACTTTTTCTGGAGCTGGTATATCTTTGAGTAAACAAAACGATAAGTCTGGTACTCTTATGCCACTAGTTTCTATCCTTTTTATATATGTTCTCGATCTTTCGATATACTCATGCTGTTCTAAATTATGAGAATCTAACGCTCCAACATCAATAATATTCCTGAAATCAAATTATTTTCAATTATATTATAGAGTCAACTGGTTAATAGTAATAGTTTATTTTTTATTTTTTATTTTTTTTTGAACAGGAAAAATATCTTACGCTGCAGTTTCATGAAGAATTCTATTTAAAGCACTTTGTTCATCAGTCCTTTTAGGAGCTGAATTCTGATACTGATTTACGTAGTCATCACTGAAATAGACCAATCAAATTAATTATTGCAAAAAAGTTCTTGTAACGATATAATATTTGTAGAGGATATCAATTTACCTATGAACTCTTGGTATGCTGGTATTACTGCTGACTGGGTCAGCAAGTAGATGTGTGCGTTCATTGGCTTCACCACCCTGTATAAACAAAATATTATATGAAAACTAAAATATCAGCCCAGACTGGTGTTTTCTCATAAAATCTGCAAGCAAAGCTACAAGTTTGAGTACACATGGCTGTAAACGACCTGAACTTATCACGAAATGTGATAAGGAAAGTGGAGTGCCAGCAGTAATATAGTCACGCAGAAAAAAGATGTAAAAGTACGTACCTGCTGACTGCCGTCATCCTTGCAGAAACTGTAGCAGCAGCCCATATTTACGTGTCAAAGTTGATATCCTCCAAGCTCAATCGTACACAACCATAGTATTGCTCCTTTTCACGAGTTAACTTGACGCGCGTTTGACGTGAACAATAAGTTTTCGAATACTTTTTTGCTCACAGTCACACACTATAACACTGCTATCAAACATGGACCGCGACGTATAACATGCATCACAGCGATGACTCTCTCGCGCCGAGCGTTTGCCTGATAAAAATCTGCATAAGGCTTAGTCTGGAGTCTGGACTGTCAAAATCGCACTAATGATACGTCACTGACAACTAGTACGAGACGGTCATCGGTATTACTCTGAGTAATAAAACAGTATTTCAAGATTTTTCGATCTAAGTAATCATGCCATTACACATTTTGCTGTGTACTTGAGATTATTTTAGACCTTCTAAAGGCATTTAAAAAAGTTCAAACATTTTAAAATTAAAATTGAACAATAATATTATTTTACTCTGCTGAAAACTTAGCCGGGTGCATGAGAACGTTTTTAACAAGTTCTCTTATGGGAGAACAATCAGATTCTCAAAGATCACCCATTCATGCATGTGTGTCTATTTAAATAATAAACAATAGAAAATTTCTATTATGTTTTCCGACTTTGATTCGGAGCTCTGGAACAATTTAATTTATTCTTATAGATCATTAATGAATCAACTCAATACATTTGCGACAACGAGATAAAGCAATTAATTTAAAATCGCAAGAAAATAACTCGGAAACAAAAGTGAAAGTCGACCTTACAAGGTGAAATACTCTATTTTATGTAAGGCATTACCCAATAATCTCCTTCGCGATGAATAATAAAAGTGCAGTATGCGCGTTCGTATGCGCTTGGCTGCGCGTCAAGAGTCACGTGGTCTGTCATTTCTCCCGCCATCGGAGCTGTGCGATTGTTTACTAAAAACTTTTTAAAAGCCAGTCAGTCAGCTATCCACCCAGCCATATGGAAGTACCTACGAATTTTTTGTATTCTAAAAATACTCAAACTCCAAAGTGAAAGTGTCACGCGGTGATGCAACTTCATTAGCAAGCTAATATTTTGATTCTGTCATTGGGGGCGTGCGACTCAATCTTGACGAAAGTAGCTCTCACTGACTCACTCCTTTCGTTCTGTGTTTGGTGTCGCATGCGTTTTGAATGCACACGTGCATCTCACGCCATACATCAGTTGGTCGAGCGTTTTAAGATCAGTTTCTTGTAAAACTGCATCGCGCTAGGTAGTGTCAGAATTTTATCCGCTGAAAGATTGAAAAGAAGTTATAACGAAGCGAGTCTAAAAATAAACCGACTGGATGTTGCCGGAATATACAACATCGTGTGCTTAATTTAAAATGTCGTTCGAGTGACAACACTTGAAAATTTGTTGAGAAAGGTTCATTGTTCATAATAAAAACAGTTCTCGACGCTGGGAGCAATGATTAGATACTCCAGCAGAAATTTTCTTACAAAATTTATACAGCAAAATTTTTCACAAGGATTTGAAAATTTAAATACGTAGTAGAGAGAATTAATAAAATAAGATACTTGCATCTAGTTTCTTATTTCTGCTAGTTCAATTTTCTGTTTTCTTTTTGTTTAACAGAACTTTATTGCAGTTATTAATTTTAATTATAAACAATGAACACTATTACTTTAGAAATAAGACCACGATTGAGATCTCTCAATGCGTACATTTCATTGAAGGAAAGTATAGATAATTCAAGATTACAAGTCAGACTAGGTGAAAATGATATTAAAATTGAAATTCAAGGGAAATTATATAGTTTGCCGCTTGCTAACATTCATTTGTTACCGTCTTCTCTTTCATCCCTTAGAATAACGGACAAATGGATATCTTTCCGCATACAAACTGAGCCTAACTATTTGTATGGTAAATTTGAAACTGAAATAATTAAAAATGATGAGATCAATTATAATTACATGAACTTGGCTAATGAGCTTCAATTGCCACCAAAGAACAAAAACTGTCAATTAATTTGTGCACGCTGCGAAAATAGAATTACTAAAATTGTTAACTTTCAAAGAGTTTTACCTCTTCCAAGCTCAGGTTGTGATCCACAAGAGTGGTTTTGCCATAAGCATGGCAAAGATGAGCCTTTTTCTATGGATCCTAAAGAGTCAGATTTATTTTATTCTTCAAATTATTGCCTCTTTAATACAAATGTTTTTGAAGACAGGTCAAAACTTTTGAACTCTAGTAACTCTTTAGTCCAATGCAATAGATGTTTTGCTGTAATAGGATCAGCCAAAGAAAATAATATGAAAAGTTTAAAAATATGGAACTGTTGCATAAATTATAAAATAATAGATGATGATAGTGTTATGAAGATAATTTCTTCACCGCTAAGTGACTTTCTCACAACTTTCAAGTATACATCAGATTATACGATAGGTGAGAAAATACTTCTAGAAGCTGAAGAAGCCCATTGTACGCATCATATTATATTAAAAACAATGGAAAAAAAATTACACATACAAAAAACTGACCAAGTAAATTTAACACAACAAAGTATTGATTTGGAATCATCTTTTGTTGTTAAAGTATTTTATAAATATGGAGAGAGTAAATCAACGATTAAAAATAATGATCCAGATGTTGAATTTAGTGAATTACCTTTATCTAGTTTTATATCTGGAATGGAAGCACTGATGTCTTCCACTGCTAGATTTCCTCCAGCATATAGGAAAGCTGAAGACTATTATATTGGTTATTTACCATTATAAATTTTAAAAAATTTTAGACAATGTTTTAGTATTTCTACCAGCATAAAATAAAGCTGAAGACCATTATATTGATCACTTGCAATTATAAATTTTAAAAAATGTTACACAATAGACAATTTGTATTTTACCAACAGAGATTTGTGACTTTTAATTTGATATAAAGATTCATTTACAGAAAAGTATATGATGATTCTTACAGTAAAACTAGCATTACTACTTCAGAACCTGTATATTGTTATAGGTTTGATTCTATGACCATAATGTACAGAGAATAAATATGTGTGAAAATAATTTCGAAAATAATAAAATATTTCATGGTTTTCTCAACTATTTTTAGTCATTTATTTTTGCAAAACATCACATACAACGCATCGATTCTAAGTAACATTATTAAATATTTATAATCAAATTCTATTTTTACAGCTTTATATGTCATCTAAATCTTGTATAATCTATTCTAGGCCAATATCACTAACATACAGTATTTATAAGAAACTTGATTTTTGTTGTCATTTTTATTGTAATTCAATATACTTTTCAGATATTATTTTTTCACTTCTTAAAACATAAAATATTTGGGTCTTTCTAATTATCAGTGCAAAATTCATATAAATCATTAATTTTTAACTATTTAGTGCATATTACTTCATTTTTGAAACATTTTACTTTAATTTTATGTTTCGAGTTTTTGTGGCTTCATAAAAATGATTTAATCATTATGAAATTTGGAGTGCATTAGGATTTTGTAATAAAACCGCCACAGAGTTGAAGCTGTACATTCAATGTCTGATATATTGATTTTGTGGTGTAAAGAAATTTAGGTATGAAGAATAATGTAAAAAAGGTACTTAAAACATAATTTCTCGTATTATAAAATGCTAAAAATGTACAAAGTGTAAATTTCACAGGTAAGAATTTTAAGAGTAAACACAAATTTTCCATCTCTCTACTTTGAGCATTAAAATTTAATCTTTCGATTCCTATCCCTCTTCAAGAGGTATTTACACACATTAGTATTCAATAGTAATGTTTTCATCTTTTCTGCTATATTTTCTTTTCGAGTAATTGGCCTTTTTTTGCACTCTTTGTCATGAAATTGGAAGAAGTATTGAAAATGTTTAAGACAACTGTCCTTATTTTCTTTATTTAATTAAAGGTCACTTAAATAGATTCGTAATCTACAACCGTAGTGCACCGCATTCCCGTTTGTTCAGATCGGCTATATTGTCCTTTTATTCAAGTTTTCAATACAATTTTTAATTCAATAGGATCCGAACTTGTTGCCTTTCGTATATTTATAAGTTTTTTGAGCATTTTTCAGCGTGTTTCCTTGAGTAAATATGAATATTCATATGGTAGTATATAACTAATAGATAGTTACAAGCATAACTGAATTTTGCGCTTCATTTTATTTTTGTTTTTACTTATTTAATTTCAGTGTTTATTTATTCAGTATTGTTTTCATAAATTTTCAGTTTGAGTATAACAGTGAAGGATTGAATCTGATCAATCAGTAAATAATACATTTACATGAAAACGCAGCAATCAGTAGAATGATCGTAATAGACAATTCAACGAGAATATATACAAAATTGAATGAGAGACTTAAAAGCAGTTTCTGAAATTTACATGTATAACTCTCCTGAATAACTACGATTTAATATTAAATCTACTTTATTTGTTCGTTGATTTACAATATGAGCGCACTATACGCTTAATACAATAGTTTTAAATGCTACAACCAGAATTATCTCAAAATTTACTGTTGCATTGATTACTGAATAAAATGATTTGTGCCACGATTCAAACTTATGCTCGTACATTTTTAAATTGTCGTTTTCCCTAAGCCAGTACTTTGAACACCCCAATTCAAAAGCATTAAAATTAAAGTTAATAATGTACAACTTTTATAAAAAGCATATAAAGAAAAGAAGAATATTATTACAGTATTCTTCGATAATAGAATCGTAAAATTTACGAATTTATGTTTAACATTTTAATTACACTACTTGAATTATACTAATAGAACAATTTACTCATAAAAAATATGTATCATATGTACATCAAAATATTTCAGTATATTAAATTATACTTTAAGGTTCTAATTAGACGCATGGAAAATACTTGATATATTTGCACTTAACTTTTTTAGAACTAAAAGATTTCTCAACCAAATATAAATACAATAATCGATTGAATAAAAAATGCTAAAAAAATCGAACTATCATCTTTAAACAATGAAGGGAACCTCGATTCTAAAAAATTGTTTTTTTCATCCACTTACTATATGCATAAAAATTAGAAAACTATAATTAACATTATACAAATCGCAAGTTTTTAAAGTGCTGTACATTAAAAAAAAAACGTGAGTGGTGACGTGGCTAGTTTTTTCTTATCATGTGCTCGAGTTGGCGGAAGTGTTTGCTCCTGTATCCACCGGCGCGGGCACGCTGCTGCCGCCGTCGCTGCTCAATCTATTCTCCAACGGAGAAATGTAATCCCATCCGCCGTCTTTGGTTTCTTTGAAGAGCTAAACGAAACGAACGTGTTAAAAAAAAAAAAGAAATAAATAAAAAATCGCCACTCGTGATACGTGACAACGATCTAATGAGTTCATAACGAGCTTTTTTTCGTCTTCCTGTCTTACCTTCGTGTGCCAAGCGATGTTGTTATCCTTGCGGTAGCGCACGTCGTCGCGCTGCTTCTGCTCGATGGCGATCTTGGCCGCCGTTGCTTTGTCCATGTCGTTGATCCTGAGACCCATGGTGACCTCGCGCCAGACCTTGCGCGACTCGTCGTCCTCCTGCTCGCTCATCGGCTTGACCAGTTTGCGCTCGACCTTTTGCTCTCGCACGTCGGCGAATACTTCGGTCCGCTGTAAAGTGAATCGATAAAAATGGTTTTACCTCGTTTTGCCAACTATCGATCCATGATATTCTTGGTAATAAAAATACCCGAAAAAGCTCGATTGACGTCAACGGAGGTTTTTCTTTAAAATTCAAAGATTGCGGTATGCAATTGACCCGAAGCGACGTATATATATGTATAGGTTACGAGCACTTGGCACCTTTTTCTCTACGCGATGAATAATACACGCGTGTCGGAACCGAAAAAATCGATCCCAACCCTCTTTCTTTCTCGCGTAGCGCACGCGAGTTGTGCATAGCAGTCTTGGTGCGGTCGCTGCACGCGCGTCATAGAAAAGAAAAAAGAAAACTCACCCCGTCGGCCCATTTGGCCTCCATGGCGCCGTTCCAGTCGCCGTTGATGACGAGGAAGGGCTTCTTGTCTTGTGGCCCCGTGACAGAGCACGTGATCCTGTTCTTCTTGCCGCCGTAGAACGGCTTGGTGAGGAAGTCGACGCTGGCCTGGTAGCCGGTCTGGGCGCAGACGATGCTCGTGGCGCCCCCGAGCTCGATCCAGGGCACAGTGAGGATGGAGCGCGCGTAGCCGTTGGGAAAGGTGAGCACGTACTCCTCGTCGTGGGCGTGCAGACGGACCGTGCCCTTGCCGACGTTGTGCACGCCGATCGACAGACCGAGGAACTTGCTCTTCGTCCAGACGTGGGCGCCGAAGCTGATGCGCTTGGCTTTGTGCTCGGCGTAGAAGGCGCTCACCGGAGGATGATGCGAGACTTGCTCGGCGACGAACGCCAATTGGTTCTCGTTGCACCACGGTACCGGGCCGTCCTCGACCTCGGCGGGGACGGCTGCGGGCTGCTGCGTGGACGCCGTGCCGCTCGAGGAGGATGATTCTTTAGCACCCGATGCTCCCGGTAATTCCCAGAAACAGCGGAATATCTCGCCGAGCACCGGGTTGTAGGGCTTCTTGGCGACGCCGGAGCGTCGGCCGGCGTGGAAGCTGCACAGGTACCACTTGCACACTTGGACCATGCGCTCTCGCGGTGACGTCATGTCGGCGATACTGCAATGTGCACACATCGATATAATATAGAGATAAATCCAAGTTCTAATTGAGCGTCGATTTTTGCGTCGGTACGCGAAACTAGCGTAGATATAGCAGCATTAGCGATCGCGCTTTTCCCTTGCGTATATAATAATCGAAGGCCAACATATATACGGACGAACTATTTGAAAACTTTTCCCATCTTTCTTCTCTAGCCGAATCACGCGAGCATTATATCGGACGTCGCGCTTTTCTGCGCCGCGACACAATAATATCGTAATAATAGTATACAATCTTGCGCATAGTTGGCAGCAACAAGGAACGGTCGGCTGCTGCGTGTGCACTGCCTAATATTAGAATAGGCGCGCTAAGTGGGTACAAAAAGACGACACAGAGACTAAACTTACCTAACGAATTGGTCGGGATGAGCGAAATAGTCCGCGTACATTTCTAAGAGCGAGCGCCTCTCCAGTATGAAAGTCGGCAGGGCGACCTTCGTCAGGTCCATGCCAATTTTCACTTGCGACAGGAGATGCGTCACCACCGAGCCGTGACTCTCCATCGAGTCCACTGCATTGAAACGAAAAGAAAAGCAACATTCATACGATATTCTCGATTATTTGGCATCTGTATTGGAAGAAAAAAAAATGAAATTGTTACTCACGCTCTCCGTCGCTCTCCTCCTCGTACATTGCTGCAACGAAAAGAAAAAAAAATAATCGAATGAGCTTATTTTATTTTATATAAACGCATCGAGACGCTGCGAGTGTTTATCCTTCATCATAAATTTGCGTATCAAGTGTATGTATACATGGAAAGCTTGCAGCTGTCAGACAGGTCTTGGTTTTGTTACGTTTGCGCGATCAAAAGATCCGCAAGTTCGTGTGTCGTTATAGAGAAATTATTACGTGAATCGGAGCCTTTAGTACGGATATTATTTGTTCGTTGCGGTTGTGCATGATACGACGATATCGACGACACGGAGTTTAAATTTAACTTCAACCAAAGTGTGCGCGTTTTTCGGGGTCAATGGAACTCGCGAGCGCAGCAGAAAATTCTCGCGGACCGACGACGACACCCTCCTCTCTGCTGTCCTAATCCATATTTGCGGTGTACATACCAAGTACTATACATTCAGCAAGTTCGATACTATGTACTTTATGGATGATACGCGAAGAGCTTTTCGGACGAAAACTTGAATGAATTTCGAAACATCGGAAATCACGGTGTGTGTGTGTGTGTGTGTGTGTGTGTGTGTGTAGCTGTTACACACGGGAAGGTAGTGTATTTCTGTGCCAGACACAACACACACGTATACACGTACACACACTTGTATAGTCTGTGGGTCATGAGTGCTACATAGACTTACAATCCAAGCGGTTGCATTCGCCGAGTCGCTTCATGATTCCGTTGCTGGTGTCTTCGACGTTCACTCGTACTCATCGTCGAGCCATGTATAAGGATGAACGAAATTAAAAAAAAAAAAGTGGCAAAAAAAAGGAAACTAACCTCGGGCTTCACTCGTCATCATGGTTAATCCCCGATCGCTCGCATTTGTATACGAATATAATAACAATGATAAACCCCTTGCGTTAAACAATCGTCCTGCGCGTCGCACGCACCATTGTACAGAGACGACGGATGATCTCTCTCTCTCTTCCTCTCGCACGTTACTTTACAAAAACAAACAAACGTTGCGAAAGAGAAGAAACAGAGAGAGAGAGAGGAAAAAAGGTCAGAGCTTTTTAATCGCGACGCAGGCAATCCCGCTGCTGCAGCAGACAACACACGCGCGTATACACAAAAATATATGCTTATTACACAGAGCTCACAGCAGCATGGCCCGGGGCGTACTGCTGGTTGTGGACGGCTGTGCCACTGGTAAAAGGTACACACGACGTCGACGCTCTAACTCTCGCTCTCTCTCTCTCTCTCTCTCTCTGTCTATCGAATTTTCCGTCTCTGTCTCGCTTTCTCGGGTGCGCATTAGAGCAGTAGTAGTAGTACCTACTGCTGCATCGTTCGGTTGTATGTGTGTGTGTGTGTGTGTGCATTAGTATATACATTCATCGTATTATAACAACGTGGATAACTCTATATCTGTATACTAAGCGATGGAGAGAACCTAACGCGCGCCACCACCGCCGCAGCCGCTGCCGTTGCCGCCGTCGTAGTCGCAGGCAGCGGAGCAGAGCAGCAGCAGCCGCGCGCACACGTCAGCCGCCACACGCGCCTCCACCACACGCCAGCAGCACCGAGGAGTTGAATCAATAATATAAGCGAGCGAGTAGAGCGCGAGATATAGCGTACAGTATGCATATAGATAGAAGTCAGCATGCACTCGGGAGGACGATTTGTACTACGTACGATTCCACCCGCAATTACGTTTCATCCTGCTCAGATCGAGGGGGAGAAAATCCGAAGAGAGAGACGCGGGCCGCTCGAGAATCGAAGCAGAGAGCTCATTAAGGATTCATGCTTTTTTTGGATTCGATTGAGAGAGAAAGCTATGTGGAAATAAGAGCTGCTGCTGTTCGAACGCGCGCGCATGCACGTAATCGGGCAAAAGGTGCGCGCGAAAGAGGACCGACAATAGAGAGAAATAAAGAGACGTTTGAAGGTGAAAGCTATTTGGCTGCTGCTGCAGCGAGGAGAGTAAACGACCCAGTGCAAATTTCGACCTGTCGCGCGTATATACTTTGTAATTGATGAATGGATGTCGCGCCGCTCGTTATTAGCTCGAGCCTAATTAAATCGAGTGCGGGCCAAATTTCGTAATACGCAACGATTCGAGCTTAAAAACTGCTCTCGGCTCAATTACGAAGAAAGGGCCCTGAATAAACTGACCCACGCACGGATTACACGAGCGTATAACTTTCAAAAAGAGAAAGAGAAGGAGAGAGAGTCGCACACGTGTGCAGCGCAAGGAAAATCAGCAGCAACAGCAGCAGCGATGCAGTGGCAACGAGCAATGTCGTGACGTCATTAAACTCACCCTCTTTCGCACACCTATCTTTCCGCACGGTCGATTTATTTTGTTTATACATTCAGCGACGGGCGCGCGGCACTCTCGCCCGAAGGCTTTTTCAATCCTGATACGTGCCACGAACGAATTATTATTTATTTTTCCATTTTCCATTTTCCATTTTTCATTTTAGTCGGGTAAAATTTGATGAAAATGCTGAACCAATTACCTCGACTTGGTAGCCGAGTTGATCGATGCAATTAATGGGTAATAATCGTTGGATAATGGAGTCCTTTGCGCACACGTGACGATCCGTTTTCACGCATATTATATCGAGTGAAAATGTTATACACGGTGTATACTCATAATCTCGTAAATGTATGGTGGATATTTCCGATGGCCACTGACCGTGGGCGCCCTTATCAAGTGTTTCTTTTTGCAATAAAGACTCTGAATGAAAACGCTAGAGAGAGTAAAAATAAATGATTAACAGTGCCGTAAGCTGTTACCGGATTTTGCGCGTCCTACGCACGCGAATCGTTATTGTTTGAATCAGCCCGAGACAATGACAATAGAGCTTGTGCGCACGCGGTGGAGGATGGAAGATTTTTTTGGCGATAGCAAAGACCGATGTCTTATCGCAGTACAACAAACTCAAAACGTTTAATAGATATAATTAAAAACAAAACCGATTTGAGTACGGATTAACGTCCATAAAACTTTTCCGAATATAATGGAACAGAAGTATAGGAAAGAAATATAATGACAGGTATATTTTAGGCTCAATCGAAAGATCAGTACGTCATTTGTCAATACCGCCGCTATTGCAATACGTAGATTTCGAGTTATATATAAAGTTAAATTTGAAAGTATAGAAAAATTTCATCGGAATTAAAAGGCAGAGAGAGAGAGAGAGTGAGAGAAAAAAATCGGTTCGCGGCGCTTCGTTCTCACTTTCTCGCGTGTAGAATCACTATCTTTTCACGTGACCCACAATCCTATGTATTGCCCGCGCTCTCCGCTGTACGTTTATAGAGCATGATGCGGGGAGAGGTCGTTGACCCAATAGATACACTATAGCACGCACAAAAGGTTATAGAATACACGCATCATGCACCGTTGTAAGTATTGTTGTTGTTATTTGTTATAAGTAGCTTAACCTATGCACTTGAACATTTTTTCATTCTGGAGTATCTGCGTAAGCTCGATTATATCACGTAATTGAGAGAGAGGTGACGAAATTTCGCTCAACGAGCGACGACAGGTAACGAGGGCAAATGGATCTTTGTGTATGTGTGTAGGTACATAAAATTAACAATCGTACCGTCGTAATCTATCGATCCGTCATGCTTGATGGGCGGTGGTGCTGGGGCGGCCTTTGGACGACTACTGTCCGCTGCGGCGGTATTGCTCTCCGAGGACGGCACTCTCTCGACGGGCTCTCGTCGTTTCCTGCAAAATTAATTTTTCCGCGTTGAGGATAATTTCGCACAAAACGTGACTTGTTTTCTTTTTATAATTTATCATCGAGCGGAAAAATGGTCTCAACTCACGTTTGCGTCTGCGACGGCGTGGTTTGGGTCGGCGATATCTCGTCGGCGGCGTCGAAGTAATCCTCATCTTCGTCCGAGGAAGAATACGAATACTCGGGTACTGGAAGATTCCTCGTGGTCGCTGGAACATCCAGGTAAAAGTTCGGATTATAAAGTATCTGTATTAGATCGAGTATTTGAACCAGGACTTGATAGAACATGAAAACTATAGACGCGGAAACGCAAACAAACTTGGTTATCGACACGGAAATTCTCATATTTTCGTTCGCGACAGTCTGTAACGTGAAGTCTGGTCATATACATGCATCGAGTCTCAAAATATGAATAAAAAAAAAAAGTATTTAGGCGATATGAAAAAAGATTATAGCGCTTACCGTTGGCCGCGTTGCCTCGAGGCTCCGTGCATTCGGAGCCCAGCTCGATGCCAGTTTGAACCGCAGCGTCGGGCTCCCTGGCTGCGACTAAAATCGAAAAATACCAAACGCGAATATAGATGTTTCACATCAAAAATAACATTTTTTAATGTTACTTTCGGACCAGTAAATGATTATAAGTTTTAAATTTTAACACATCCAAAGGACAAAACTAACCATGTTTTAGTGTGGGTGTGACAGGAGCAGGTTCAGTTGGTCCCCGATAGATACCGTTTACTGGAATGGCAGTGTTCTGAAAAAATGTACCAAAATTTGAGTTATTATCGAATCGATTCTCGTAAACAAATTGCATTTCTTTTGCGGAAAAAACAAATAAATTGGCGTCAACACTAATCCCAAAACCAGCAACGCCCAAAAAAAAGTACATGCATACAAAACACAAACAGCATAATAGAGAAAAAAAAGCAAAAAAATTACTCGATAGGGACAATTGATTTCGTCGTGTTCTAGTTCCCAACGTGCCTTAGCAATTTGTAGCTGCACAATGGCGTGTTTCACGGCGTTGAGCATCGCGTTGGCCTGGCTCAGTATCTCCGCGTATCGCTTTCCCTTATCCTCGGTCTCGGCGACGGCGGCGGAGTCGTCGTTGTTACTGTCGTTGACCAGGGAGCTCTGCTTCTGCTCCAATACCTTGATCTGGTCGATGAGCAACTGCAGATAAGCGTCGGCTTCGGCGACTTTCCGATCGAAATCGTGCTTCGGTGGTGGTTTGCGGGGATCCCAACGCTATCGCATGTACATGAAAGTATAATACGACAAATATCTCATGGTTAAAATAATTAAAATCGAATCAAATTTTTATACGCGGATGAGTAAGAATAACGATTAGGCCCGCGCTGGCGTCAATAACTGCCCAATTCCCATGACGTCAGAAATATGAAAGAAAAAAGCGATGAAAATTCATTTCCGCGAGCGAGTAAGACGTAGATATGAAACCGCAATGCGTACGTCACTTTGATGACGAAAAGAAAAAATGTTTGAAACCTCGGCGCTGCGATTCAATTGTCCATTTCGCTTATAATGGATTCGCGCGCGCGCTCGAAAGGACCAGGAAAGTTTTCAATAAAAGGGCCGTGTTTCCAGAGAAATAGAAGAAGTATACATCTATATCCCGGAAACATTTGAAAAAATATATATTTGGCTTCATGAAAATTCATACAGAAAATAATAGTTTTCACGACTACGACTACGAGGACAAAAAAGAAAAACGCACACACGCTCGCGAGATGACATAATTCGAGTGAATATCTTTAGTGAACTACGTTTTCCGCATAAACCCCGCCGAAAAAAAAAATAACTCGCGTCTAGTATATAGAAATCATCATGGTGTGCGTGGTAGTCGTAGTCGTAGTAGTAACTGCATTACAATAGAATTTGAAATTCTAATGACATCTGACATCGTATATACGTGCACGAGCTCGCGCGTATACGATAGAGAGTATATACCGATATAAACACTCGGTAAAATAGGAAAACGTATACCCAGCTTATTTGAAATTTATCGATTTTTTCCTCTCTATCTCTTTCCTCCCTTTCTTTCCGTTTTTTTCCGAATGTCCGTCATAGATAAATAACTATTATTTCTTTTTTTTTTTTTTTGATATTTTATTTTTGATATTCAGCAACGATGGTGGCGCGTACTTACCGCGTGGGAATGTCGCAATATCGTGTCCTCGAGTCCCCTGACCCATCGCTCTCGCTCCTCGCCGTTTCTCGTCTGGAAATGGAAGGTTTTGGGATCGTCCTTGCTCGACGACGTGGTGATGGTGAACGTGCTGTCGTCCTCGTCGTCGATGCCGATCACGGCGCCCTTGAGACGCACGCAGCCCCGCCGAGCCCCGCGCTTCATCTTCTCCTTGCTCTGGAAGAAGAGAGTACATCATAAGTTCGAAATCAATTTTTCGATTTATGCTCTACAAAAAAATGTGTGGTTTTGTGTCATTTAAAACGAGTCGGAAAAATTATTTCAAGGAGTATTCCGTACAAACGCGCTTCTGTGAAAAACTTCTCTATAAAATTCACGTAACAGTTTGGCTACTGTACCGCACAAAAACTCGACTGACGTTCAAACGACGATGTTTAAAACATTATATGTTTATAAAATTTGTTTCGTTTTTTTTCACTAGGTTATTACTGAAATGTATTGAATGCAAAGGCAATTTTTTGCGTCCACACACTGTATTCAGTGTTTCCGCGAAAAAAAAGTAGTAAGTGACTCTGTATATGCCTGTTTGACGATATACGAGATGAGAAACGACCGTTTAAAGCGTTCATAATTTTCCACTGTCTTTGGAAATTATCGTAAACATTTTCGGGGGGCGGAAAAAAAGTAAAATAGACGCATAATCGCTATCGTGCGCTCGACGCATAAAATCGTTCATCGTCATCGTTCTTCGGCGGATTATCAGCTCGGCTCGCGAGCGCTCATTAATAAAGGTCTCGCTCGCATTATTGCCGAGTCGATCGCGCAAGTCGTCCACGTGCAATTGGCACATGCAAGCACACGCGCTTGTCAAAATACATGCACACACGCACGCACACATACGAGACATCGTCCAAGAAAACTACTGTCTCCGATAATTTTTGCATATGCGCACGAGATACACATGCAGCACGCACACACAACGCGACAACGCTCGATCGTGTGTGTGTGTGTGTGTGTGTGTGTGTGTGTGTGTGTGCGCACGTCGATGTGTCTATATATTTGTAAATGTATATACATATATAGAGTGTCAAGAGTCAGGGTTCAAGTTGGAAGCTCCCGCTTGTTTTGTGTTATATCGCGTACAGGCCGTCCGCATGCTTATGTGCCGTAAGCAAGTGACGCGACACAACCGCTCGTTCGCTCGTCGTTCGCTTGCCTCGTCGCGTTGTGTTGTTACGTATATAGGCAAGTCTCGATCAACAGGTGCCGAGAAATGCAACGTCGGCCGCAAAAGCATTCGTACTTTACTTACTTACGCGCACCACCACCACCACCACCACCACCACTACCACCCAACGCGATCGCGACAATTGCATCGAACGCGCTCGTACCGCCGCCGCGGCCAACCGATTGTCGCGCGCATCGTTATTGTATTATATAGGCGCAGGTTGTTTGTTTTTCGGCCCCGAATCGAATTTGCATGCGTATGAAATGAAAAAATAAATAAATAAATGGCGAAGAACCGCAAAAGGTCGCTGTGTAGACGCCGTGGCTACCGCGTGCACGTACGCACGACGCCGCAAGGCTTTTTCATCAATTTTTATATAAAAGCGCGCAATTGCGATGGCAATAATTTTTTTTACCCATCTTCGACAGAAAGAGAGAGAGAGAGAGAGACGATTATTGAAAGTAACGGTTCGTGCTTATTACGCCACACACACACATACACACGCAAGTCCGCAGAAGCTTGCAAAAAAAAAATTGTTTTGGAAAAATTCGCGCAACGGCGCTCGTGCATATTATATTGTTTCAACTCGTTCATTTACATTTTATAAAATAGATAATACAAATGGTCGTGGCGGCTAATTATTCGTAATTATTCTGCGTTCAGAAATAAAAATAAATTGCTTGACGCGCGCGTGAGAATTCATAGAGCTTTTCGACTTTTTTACCTCAACAAGTTGATAATGACGTCCGCTCGGAGCGTTCAGGGATTTCATTGACCTGCGAAAATGTACTGGGAAAAAGCTAACGATCGATTATCGGGTGCGAATATAATTCTTACGAATGACTAATCTTTAAAATAAATAAAAAAATTATGCGAGAAAGGTGCTGCCGCGCGGATTACCAAATCGGAGAAATGTTTCAAAATATTATTGACGTAAAAACCATAATTGCACGCAATTAATATAACATTCCTTGATCGAATAATTGTGCGCGTGTGTTAGGACTAGAGGTGCTCTTCCTGTTACATCATATTCAATGTCAAAGCCAATAACTTTTACTTCAATGTACAGACTTTTTTTTACGTATTGGTGTATACATTAATCCGCGCACGGGACCGCACAGCGAAAGAGATTATTACGAAAAGTACGAATGTATAATACCGATCTTCTTGCTTGCTCGCTCTCTGCACGGTGGTGTGGTGCGGCGCGCACTCGTTGCGCTATAACACGCGTAAAATTAACACGCGCCGCACAGATTCGCGTTTCGTGCACATGTCCAATGGATGGAAAAATCATTGAAAATAGCCTCGTGTATCATGCGAATGAAATGAGAGTCTCGGTAACACTTTTTGCGCGTTCGCTTCTTCTTGCTTTTTTTCTTTGATCCTACGAGAGTGAAATAACATAAAATACATCGACGTGACAATTGGTACTGTAAACAGTGCGGTCGTCGTCGTTTTTTTCTTATTCTTTTTTTTTGTTTCTTCTCATAGACGAAGACGACTCAAGTTTATTATATTTGTGGCAATGAGCGTGTAGTACCACTTGTTTGAACGCTTGAACCCGAGCAAATATTGTGCGACTATCCCCCTTTTATTGGAAAAACGTGCAAAACTGCATTTAGCACTGCAATGCCAATCGAGCGATATATAGAACCGTTCTGATTTTTTAACATAAGCACAGACAGACGCATTCGTCACGCGCGCACGTGAAGAAATCGAATCGGCCTATGAAAGCTCATTAATTTCGTGTGTGAGATAATCGTTACAAAGCGAGAATCCCAAAGGTTCCCCCGCCAATTCGACTTATTTTATTTCATTTCTTTCTAACTCATACAAAAAACACGTGCCTTTACACATTAAAATGTGTAAGTATGTATGTATGAGCGTGGCTAAGCGCGCAATAAACGCGGATAAATGTTAGCAAGTAAGTATTTTAGGTTCCCTCATGAATATTGTCGAGGCAAACGCCGCTCATAGCAGCACAGCACATGAGTGTGTGTCCGTCCGTACTTACTCACTTACTTACGTCCGCGGCTACGCGACGCGTTAAAGGCATAACCACTACCGTACGGACACCGCGCGGCACACACCGCCATCGGTACGGGCCACACACTCGGAGCAGTAGTAGTCGTCGTCGATCGCGCGCACAGAGCCCCATTCCTGTGTCCGTCCGTCTGTCTGTGTGTTTCGCGCGCTCACGAAGAAGAGACCGAAAAACAACATCGATGAGACAAATATTGTTCACTGCCGATCGGTCAGTCAGTCATTAACCATCGGCTAGCTTAGCCGCGCAGTTCTTCCTTCTCTCTTCTTGGTGTACGACGTACACACCAGGACTCAACCCAGCCTGCCGATTTTATAAGAAAAAGATAAAAAAAAGAAGCTGGTCTGGTAAAAGTCGATGGTTTTATTGATTTGGCGTTAGAGAGACCGACCGATTTTTTCGATTTTTCTCCTTTTCAAAACAACTTGGCTGGGTTGGCGCGGGTGGGCAATTTGTCGTCGGCAACGTGCGCGCGTTTAAAACCGAGTGAGCTTTTACTGTCTTTTTTTATTTTACATTTTGTTTTGTTGGCCAATTGTTCGTGTGAACCAAGAGAGTGTGAGTTGAATTTTTTTTCATCGTCGCAAGTACACGAGAACACATAAAAGCGCCAAGATGGAAGTGTGGAACTGGCTGAAAGAAAGCTACCTAAATACGGAAACAGGTAGATTATAAACAAAAGGATATTAGCGACGAAAAATGTGGCACGCGCTTGAAAATTTCGGTCACAATTGGTGGTGGTTTCAGTGGTGCTGGTGCTTCGTAATAACGATCACGTTGTGTGTATCATAAAAAAAAAGCTTTCGACTGCAGGACATTGAAAAATATATATAACCGAGAAATTATTTTGGTCGTCGTAATGAACGCAACGCGCAGTGTCAGCAGCTTTTTTGTGAATCGTAATGAAATGCACCGCGCGCTTACCGTACAATATATACAAGTAAAAGCGCGCGCGACGCGATCGCATTCAAGAAAGTTTTATATGTTGTATAGTATAGTAGTGGATGACCCCCGTCGGTGTAGAAAGATGACATTGCAAATGCTTTGCGTTGCTGCGAGTCTCTCTTTGGGACGTTTACACGTTTGTCTGAATGGTTGTTGAAATACATAATATTATGTTGATATTATTTTGCATACCGCGCGAGAAAAATATTATAAATCACATGTCGTGAGTATCATAATCATCATGGTTTCAACACCTTTTTTTATATTTGTTTAATTTTTTTGCTTGTAATATTTAACGCTTCCTCTCTAGCACGTGTGCCTTTATACATTGGAAAAAAATCAATGTCAAAAGCACGCAAGATACCTAATTTTTATACTTTTTCTAACGTATAGACGACAGAACGAAGGACTACTTGATCGTGAAGTACGAATGGAGCATGTACCTGATATTCGCCGGTTATCTGTACTTCGTCCTGCGATGCGGCCCGAGGTACATGCAGGACAAGGAGCCCTGGAGCTGCAAGACCTTCATCAAGTATTACAACATTTTTCAAATAATCTACAACTACTGGATCGTGCACTCGTGCATCAAGTACGGACTGTTCACGGATTTCGGCCTCGGCTGCGTCTTCGTTGACAGGTCACCTGTTGGCAGACCCATGGAGGTATATTATATTTCGATTTATCCAGATAAGTCGCTCTTTTTTTCTTTTTCTTCTGTTCTTCGACGCAGTCAGCGTGGTCTTGCGGTCGTGGTAATATTTGCATATATTGTGACGTTCGGGCGCGTTGAAAAAAAATATCGCAATGGCTAAAACTGAAACTACGTGAGTCTTTACCGGATACAATAAATATAAAAGTATGTACGCGCGTAATCGCCTAATATACTATTGCGAAACAATTCGGACCGTATGAATATCTAATTCGAAAACGTATAATATTCGAAAGCCCAATTATTACGTATCATCTTCATTTTTTTTTTTTTTTTTTTTTTTTTTTTTTTGAGAAAAGTGAAACTTTTTCGTTCATTCGGGAAGCACAAAAAAGTGGCTTTTAAACGCGTATGTATAGCGTTTACGTTGTAATGTATACGGTAAACCAATCGATTCATTAACAACTAGAGTCCGAATCGAATTATACATGTGTGGATTACTTATATATGTATCCTTTCATTCGAAAAATCTCCATAAACGCGTTCTTTTCCACGTTGTCTCAAGAATTTCCGTCGTTACATAAATCCGATTTTTGCCTTTCGTCATAAATGTTATAAGCAAAATTCGTTTCTTCAATTGCGCGAATTTTGGATTCGACGCATATCGTTCGTTCACTTTTTCCCTCCCATACGAACAAAAAAATCATCATTGATTTTTGCAAAATCAAATTCTCGCATATAATCGGGAAAAAGGTTACCAATTGCAAATCTCATGTAAAGTTTATGAGAGATGGGGAAAATTCTCACGGTTTAAAAATGCGCGAGGCGATTCGACGCCGATTTTTTTTCCATTTAACGCGCATGAATAAACATGAAAAAATCATGACTTAATTTGTGAAAACTGCTTTTTTTTTTCGTGAAGCTCGTCAATGTTTACTACTGGACACTGGTGTTGAAAATGATCGATCTCGTCGAGACGGGGGTATTCGTCTTGAGGAAAAAGCAGCGACAGATCTCGTTCTTGCACCTGTACCATCACATCTCGACGATCTACATCGCCCAGATGTCGGTCAGGTACTTCCCCGGCGGTATGGCCACGGTGCCGATCGTCGTGAACTCCTCCATCCACGTGGTCATGTACACCTACTACTTGCTCAGCAGCCAAGGGCCGTCCGTGCAAAAGATCATCAATCCCTTCAAGCCCTACATTACCATAATGCAAATGGTAACATGAATTGTCTTGAGTTTTCACGATCAAAGCAACGATAATCAAGCGAATGATATCTTTTTTTCAAGGTACAATTCTTCTTCTTGTTGGGACACACTTTGCAAGCTTTCATGCCCTACTGCCATGTACCAAAATGGGGAGCTGTGGTAATGGTCTTCAATCTCTTCATGAACTTCATCCTGTTCTACAACTTTTACAGGCAAAATTACAAGGCACCAACAAAAGCAAAAGTTGAAGGAAAAAAGAACTGAAACTTTCAGACAAAAGAAACCAAAGCTCAGTTCTCACTTGAAGTAAGCAAAAAGTTCTTGGCTATGCCTAAGTTTTATTTTCATGGTTTCAAAATTCAAAGATATCTTATAGCATGAAATTTTATCTCTAATCTATCAATTTTTCATTGATAAATTCCGCTCAAGTATGAGAGATTCCAAGGTACTTCATTTCAATCACTTAAAAGTGGCGTGCAATACTTTAACTAATAGCATAGATTAAAAGCAATAAATGTCATCGCTGTCTACGAGGCTAAATTTAAATACCATGGATTGTTTAGTAACAGGGAAAAGTAACAAAATAGGTGTGTGAGAATGGCAGCACATTCCAAATTTGTCACAATGTAAATGAGAGAAAAAAAAATTTTTTATATATTTTTTGTAAATTATTGAGCTAATGAAATTTTAAAAATTTTATAGATAAATTGCTTATTACATCAATCCAATACGCAATCTCAAGAAATTAAATGAAAAACAAAGTATTGGCTTCATGTGAGCAAATTATAGATTCATTTATGTTCATTGTTTATGATTGATTTTGCAATTGACACATATATTGTGTACAATATTAATAATAATGATAATTAAAATAATATTAATAATAATAATACTTGATGTAACTTACAAATTGAAGATTGACAAAAATAGTAAAGGTTATTGTAAGTGTTAGTTAATTTCCTCTGTAAATACATGGCCTGATGCCAAGTGTAAATAACAATGGATAAATTGAAATTGTTTCTCTTTCAATTATTGATTTGTATAAATTCTAATAAAAAACAAAAAAAATTCTTTGATAATTACAACAACCAACAAATTTAATGTGTCAAGGTAAACTTTTTCACGTGCAAAAGGACCTGAGTACACCAACTGTCATTCATAATCCTAGCGAGAAACGTGAATTTGCGAAAATTTCTCGTCGCACCTGTCGATTTGCGGCAATAATAAATCGTCTCGCAGCACACGCATGGGCAAATGAAATGGTTATTATCTTGTCGTATCTTGGGTATCAAATGTCGTATCAAATCGGTATCTTGGGTACAGCAGAGTTTAATACGGTTTAAATACCAATCGAACGATCCGCTTGTAATAATCTACCAAAATTCATGCAATGTGTCAGCGATTTAATATGCACGATTAATACAGACAGAATCTGCAACCTAACCTAACACACCTGTCGGTGAATGTGTGCTGCAAAATAAGACGAAAGAGATACAGCTCTCGGTGCGAAGAATATCATGAGCTGGCAGAGCGTTCCAGCGGTGTACACATCCGCTTTTTATGGAGTGAAAAGTAGCTCATCGGGACTCCCGCGAATGACACATTCTCCTCGTCAATGGGTGTGTGTGTGTGTGTGTGTGTGCGTGCGCGTTCGTCGTGTCAGTGTAACTGGCCTGCTCCGGGATGATACATCGCGCACAATTTTTTTGGCGAATCGCGTTGTGGTGGTGCATGTGATTGCAATGATATACTCACTGTATAGTAAGACAAGAGGCCGGCATTGTCATCGAGCACGAACCATCGATACTGCCAGCCATTGACGACATTGGTCCACTTGCTGAGGGAGCCCTCCATGGTCGTCGTGGTCATTGCGGCGTCGCAACAACAGCAGCTATTAAAATCACGAGCAGGTGAATTGTAACAACGATGATAATCGGTCGTGTATTCGCGAGCCGTCGTATTGTAGTAACGCCTGCAGTGACTGCTGCCTGCACCGCCGCTGCTGCTGGCCGACCTCAGTAAAACACTACCACTGGCACAGTCGACGATTACGAGGCTGTCTTTGCGGCTGCTGCTGTTATTGTTGTTGTTGTTGCTTATACGGCGCGTACAACTACTATTACTATTATTACGCAGCACCGGAGGAGCGGCGGCGGCGGCGGCTAGCGGCGACGACGACAACGACAGCGACGGCGATGCTGACGACGATTCGCGCCGTGGCTGCTGCTGCTGCTGCTGCTGCTGCTGCTGCTGCTGCTGCTGCTCTCGGAGTCGCGATGAATTCGATGGACTGCTGCTGTTGCTGGCAGCAGTTATAGGATAAGTGTCGTTGGTATAATAATACGAGGCTGCTGCCGCGGCCTCTGTCCCACAGCCAGTACGAGTCGCTCCTCCAGCAGTGCCGTCGTCGTAGTAGTAGTAGTAATCTGTGTCGTCGTTGTGTTGCTGCTGCTGCTTCTCACCGCCGCTACCGCCGCTGCTGCTGTTCTTCTTTACCGCCCTGCGTACTCTGCGCGCTAATCTCTTCATATTTTGCTCGTCTGTAGATAAGAAGAATACGGAAAAAACGTTTTATACATTTACGATAACTTGTAACAATGTTAAGTTGGGATCACTGTATCGCGTTATAATACCACTTCTTTTTCAACGTAATTTTATCTGCAATCGTAAGTTGGTTTTATATAATACGTCGCACTCTTTCTACGAACCGGTACTTTTGTCTGTACTTAATTATTTTTGCACTCCATTCAATTTTCGGAGCAACGTAAACGTACTCTATGTATACGATACAAAACAAGTAAGCAAACATACGCGACGCACGACACGCGCGTTCTGCTCCGTATTTTTTGGCACAACACGCGCGCGCCAGTGCGAGATTTTGACGCAGTTTCAGTCGCGCGCCACTATTTTCTTCTATCTCGAAATTTAATCAATTTATGTGCCGCGCAGACAAGTACACGCTTTATGTACGAAAAACAGCTAGCAGTATACATGCGTAAAGTGTAGTAGGTACTTACCCGAGACGTGCTGCTACACGCAGTGGTGACCGACTGGACGTAGCGGTTGCATACACGCGCAGGCTGCTGTTGCTGCAGCAACGTGTACTGCAGATGCATATAATACAGTTACATATGTATATAGTATATATACAATATGTGTATACTGTTTATATGCACGGCCGCTTGCACACAAACACACGCTCTCTCGGCTTTTCCTTTTGTTTTCTTTTTTCGCGCGCTCTCTTTCTCTTTCTTTCGGATGTGCTCAGCGCGAGTAAGTATACAAGAGATCTATACTGGCTGGTCTCGCGCGCGCATAAGCATGTTTTAACAGCTATGTGTGTACAACGAAAGAGCGTATACGACAATGAGTAAAACATGCGATACCATATAATGTGCAGGCCTGATACTCGCGCGCCTAGGCGTATGTGTGTACACAGTCACGAGTGTGTCCGAAGCGTCCGTGTGTGTATGTATAAGAAAGAGAGAGATATATAATCGGCTCTCGCGCGCGCAAAAAGAAAGAAGAAAAAAAGGGGGGCTTTTATTGGATCAGAGAAGGCAGCTTTTTTTTTGTTCGCGTCAACGTCGTCGTCGATGAGCTGCTGCTACCATAGAATTCCACGTACCGTATTATAAAGGTATCCCGGAGTCTAAAATTTCACGTGACGCCTTATGTGTATATGTACACACGATCGAACGAATAACGAGTACACGGTGTATTATGCGCGATATCTATACACACGCGACAAATCGAACGAGTCTCGTTTTCAAACTTGCGCGTGCGCTAGTGCTTTTTGTCTTTTTCTTGTTCTTTTTTTTTTTTTTTTTTTTTNTTTTTTTTTTTTTTTTTTTTTTTTTTTTTTTTTTTTTTTTTGCTCGATAATAAAATCTCTCTCGAATACGAAATCCGCGGAACGAGCGTGACTCGCGCGTTATCTATTCGCTCGAAAAAAAGTCTATAATAAACACTTAGGAGATAATGTAGGTATAGCGTGGATTTACGCGTAAAAAGAAGCATCCGTGTCGAGATCGTAATGCCATTTAATTGTTATCCGCGAGTAAAATTTGCGTAGGCACGTATATTTAGGTGTCACACGATGAAATCGCACAAAGTTAGATGTATACTACTCGATGACACTGCTGGATCAGTTGGACTAGAACGAAAACTTTGGGTACAGATTTATTGTCATCCTCTGGTCTGTTATAGCAGATGATTTTGTCCTTTTTTTCGTGCTGCGAACGAACTCGCGATTATTTGCATGCACTGGTTATATTGTACTCATACTTACTTACTCGTTGAATAAAACCAAAAGATAGATGGAGAAAGTAAAAAAAGGGAGAGGCGATCGGTGCAACGATCGCAAATCGGCAATGTTTATTCCTCGCACAGACGCGCCAGCGCACTGACAGTCCAACCGATCGCGAACGTACGTACCCCAGAGCATTACATACATCATTACGATACATATATAAAACTGAGACCGATGATGCATTTGCGGCTTTTTTGCGTCTGCATTTATATATCATATGATACGTCGTATATGGCCGTCACCGCCGCCGCCGTCGTGTCGCAGCGTACCTACATACAGGCGCACTTATTACCGCTGTCGCCGCACTCGTTTAGCCGCGAGCGAGTTCGACGAGAGAACCTCGAGGTAAAGTCCTCGCGTGCATAATAAAACCTGCAGTGCGTGCAATGCCGTATAGTATAGGTGCACTACACGGCTATCGCGCGCCGCGGACCGCAGCAGGAGGGAGAGGAGAAACGAATACATCGGTATATTACGCGAGAATATATAAGTAGTAGGAGTCGTAATGTATATAAATCGTGCGGCTGTGTGCTTTGGAAGGCGCGCGACTCGCTATACGTTGCTATTATACGTATAGGTATAGGTCGATCAGCGAAGCAACTCGAAGCTTTTTCCTTTTGACGCGCGAGCTTGCGGTCAGTAGACGTGTATAATGTACGTGTGCAGCGATCGTGCGCGAGAGCTTTTGATTTCCTCTTTTGCTATACGTGAATCGGTGATATCATTTCTCTGACGCGCTGACAGCCGGATATACGCATACACGCTTCTTTTTTTGTGTCCTTTCGGAAATCCAAAGCTGTTACAGACGTGTCAGTGTAAAAAGCTCGATGTGCATCGCACGTACGATATCGGTATACATGACAACGAGCTGCCCCGAACGCGATATCCTCCTGTAATAGCCCCGTAATTGCGTCTATTTTTCTTTTATTTACGCTCGAAACTCTACCTCTCTATTTTTAGTGAATTACCGCCGTTGCGCCGATTCGATTATATTTAAAGGCTTGCGTTCGAGCTTTCGAGCGAGCAGCACGTGCGCCGTTGCTCAATTCCAGTGTGCGGGTTTAAATAAGCGGGACGCTCGCTCGCGAGTGCTCGACACGATCATCCCATCACGATCGTTTCGAATCTATATTTAATCATCGTCATCATCGTCATCGTCGTTGCTCGCGCGGATATGACAAAATCCATATCGCTCTCGAGCGAGAGCTTTATCCGATATAAAGTGCGCGTTTACACGCATTATATTAAACGCGGATCTATGTATACGTATATTATGCGTGTTCGTTTATATATGAGCAATTCTCTAAATGAAACGCATTTTTTGAGGTAGAATCGCGGCAAATTTTTTTTTCAACCTACGCGGATACGGACCCCCGGGAAATGTTTTTGGGGGTCCTAGGAACATGTAACCACGTAGGAACCATTGAAATTTCAATAGTGCTTACTTTTATAGCTACTTTTGTGATTTAGAGGACGAAAAATCATGTTTTCTCGTTAGTACGGCTAATTACTCAATTTCTAAGTCGCTGAAAAAGTATCAAAACTCATCTGAAAAATTTAACTGACTACTGTAATCGATAGGAAATTTTCTCAGCTTTCCAATGGTGCTCTCAGATTTTCCCACAATTTGCTCATTCACCGAGAAAATCGCCATCAAACATGCCAAGCTAAATATCTCGAAAAACTCGGTACGGAAAAAGTGATCTTTGAGGTTTATTTTTGATTTTTCCTGTTGAAAATGAGTATTTTCGGAAAATCTGACTACACCATAAGAAAGCTGAGGAAATTTTCTATCGAAAGCATATCTTCATTTATTTTTTGAGTCGAATTACAATGTTATACATGGGAATTTCTTTTACGTTGTTCGCTGTTTTCTGTTTCCAAGCTGATTCAGCGCGGTCACGAGGTTTTCGGCTCGCTACAATGAAAACTAGCTCGTAAATTCCACTGAAAAAATAAATGAAAATATGATTTCGATAGGAAATTTCCTCAGCTTTCTCATGGTGCATTCAGTTTTTCCGAAAATACTCATTTTCAACAGGAAAAATCAAAAATAAACCTCAAAGATCACTTTTTCCGTACCGAGTTTTTCGAGATATTTAGCTTGGCATGTTTGATGGCGATTTTCTCGGTGAATGAGCAAATTGTGGGAAAATCTGAGAGCACCATTGGAAAGCTGAGAAAATTTCCTATCGATTACAGTAGTTAGTTAAATTTTTCAGATGAGTTTTGATACTTTTTCAGCGACTTGGAAATCGAGTAACTAGCCGCATTTACGAAAAAACATGATTTTTCGTCCTCTAAATCACAAAAGTAGCTATAAAAGTAAGCACTATTGAAATTTCAATGGTTCCTACGTGGTTACATGTTCCTAGGACCCCCAAAAACATTTCCCGGGGGTCCGTATCCGCGTAGGTTGAAAAAAAAATTTGCCGCGATTCTACCTCAAAAAATGCGTTTCATTTAGAGAATTGCTCATATATACCAACGTCATCGTCGCGTGGTATATTATTAAAACGCGGCCAATGTGTGTACACACACGTGCTACTGCTGCTGATGTTGTTGTCGCTGCTGCACTGGCGGCGCGGCAGTGATATATAAACTGCCGAGCTTGCAGGTGTGCCGCATGCGATTTGTAGCGGCAAAAGAGTAGTATATGTAGGACGTATATAATGTACAACTCTTACAGTGAACATCTATACGTGCGCGACATCTAAAAATAGATGATTTTTATCGAATTTCTTTTTTATCAAATTGGATAAAAGGATAATAAAAGCGGAGATGATGCGCCATCGAGACAAGATTTTTTTTATACGATCTCGAATCGATTATTCAAATTTTCTGGTACCCGATTGTATTTCGAGTTCCCGGGTTTTTTTGATGGCTTGGTCAAACAACAAGTGGGTACACTGCTCATCCACCATTTTTTGTTATGCCTTGATCGAAATTCTCATGGCCTTACATTCCGAAAAAGACAATTTGAAATGTTTTAAAATACATTACCATTGATTGGCTTGCTTTCGGCGGTTTTTCTATTAAAATTGAATTATTATTTATTAAGCACATTTTAAATGATCTGAAAGTTTTCAAAAATTTAGACCAGTTTTCAATTACTATAAATATGATAATACCAGTTAAAGACTTCACCACCAGATGGCGAGTACCTTTAAATCTGTAAATCTACAAGTGGTAAAATCAAAATACTCGTACAAGTAAAAGTACGGCAATTGAATAAGACTTATTATTCTTCACTGGACTGCGTATATTTACAGCTCAATCATTTTCCAATCAATCCCGACTGGAAACTAAATACGGCTGCCTGATCAGATTGTCTGGCTCTGACTTGGTAACACTACTGGAACCTAAAATGGCGGGTAATACGGTTCTGATCCGGGTCTGCTTTGGATGCCTATAGTTTCAAAATAGTCTAGTAATGAATATTAGTTCCTGTTCAGGGCCAAATCAGGGGCATAGCTTAAAATTAATCTGTTGTTTTGTGTATATATTGGCATTACAGTATATGTTTGTAGGCGTTGCAATCAATATAAAATAAATAATATAAATATTTTCTAGCAAAAGAGCTGCTAATAGATCACAATCTACTTTAGATGAAACATTTTTTTGATCGTTACCGAATGCTCGTACACTAAAGATTCAATCTAATTCTGCCCAATGGAATAAGAAATGTCGTTTGCTTATACACGATCCAATTCTTGTTTCCCCGAAAAATTCGACAGAATTGATTCTCGTGTACTTTTACATCTAATTGCTCTTCGTACACGTGTTCTTTCTTCACTTGGATGCAGTGTCCGCATGCTCATTACACTTTACAACGCTGAAGGGAACAGTAGAAGCTCGCATCGACCCAAGTGATTTCGGTGTTCAAAGTAAAAATATTTTATATTATTAAGTGACAAGTGATTGTGTGTTGAGTGCGTAGAACGTAAAAAATGAAATGTCCACGCAGAGGTTACGAGAACAGAGTCCACAAAAAATTTCGCTATCTTCAGAAGACCGGAAACTTGGATAATTTGAAAAGGTTACGAGACAGTGTCAATTGGGAGATCAAAAGCGAGCGTGCTCTATTTCTTTATAGACTTTATCTCCTAATCAGAAAATGGGTAGACCAGCTTCCAGATCTCCGAGACATTTTTCGGTCCGACCAAATCGATTGTTTTCTCACGGATGCCATGAAAATGCATAACCATAAGCCATATCTCGTCCACTATATCATCAGTTTTGTGGTTCGCAGCGGCTACAGGGACGATCAGCTATGGGACAAGCCAGCGTTGCGTCGTATCACACCGCTGCATTATGCAGCCAGCAGTTATTCCTTCGAATGGCACTTCTTGGTCCATGAGCTTTTCAAAATATACAATAGATACGACGATAACTACGAAGACAAGTCGGGACTGACGCATTTGCACGTGGCCTGCATCTACGGCTGTGAAGAAGCAGTCGAGAAATTCCTCGAATTTGGGCAGGATCCTAACTGTATCTGGCAAAAAACGGGCGAGTCGCCGCTGCACTTGGCTTTGGCCTGCGATCACGCTACCATAGCCCGATTGCTGCTGGAAAATGGCGCCGATCCGAACTTAGCCAATACAGAGGGAATGACCGCTCTGCACATCATTAGTCAGAAAAAATACAATAATAATTTAGCGGAGATGCTATACAAGATCAGCTGGGAAAAGCGACTCAGGGTGAAGGTCAACGTCCAAAACAGCGAGGGCAAAACACCGCTGCATTTGGCATTGCAAGACGCGAACTTGGGCATACAGAAGCTGGTCGAGTTGCTGCTGAGAAGAGGCGCCGATCCGAATATGACCAACTGCGACGGAGATACTGCACTGCACGTAATTTGCAAACGATGCCACGATGCCGCTGATGACTTGACGAAGATTTTAATCGATCACAGCGCTGACGAATATTGGCCAGTGCAGATCAACGTCCAAAACAGCGCTGGTGACACACCATTGAAATTGGCTCTAAACAACGGCTTGAGAACCATGGCCAAGTTTCTGTTAACTAATGGCGCCAGTCCGAATTTAGCGGACGCGAATGGATCGACACCTCTTCACATTATTTGCGAGAAACCCGACTCCATTGAATTGGTGAAGTTATTATTCTATACCAGCAACCTATTAAATCAGTCAAATCATATCGACGCCCGAGATAAGTTGGGTAACACACCGTTGCACTATGCTCTGGGTAGCAGGCAGAAGAAGGTAGCCGAGTTGCTGCTGAGGCGAGGCGCCGATCCGAGGTCGACCAACAAGGAAGGATTGACACACCTCCATGTTATTTGCCAAAGATACGACGATGACTTGTTGGAGCTATTTTTCAAGCTCAACGACGAAATGAAGCAGAAGGTGGAGGTTAACGCGAAGGACAACTTGGGCCGGACACCACTGCAATGGGCTGTAGCGAATCTTTTACCGAAAACTATCGGTACACTCTTGGATCGTGGTGCCGATCTGACTAGCTTCGTTTTTCCCACCGCTAGTCACTTCCACGAGGAATCGAGGCAGCGAGCAAATGAGAATTGGTTTCATTTTAAATTGAAAGTAGCATCCAGCGCTATGGCCGTCGTCGAACTCCTGGAGATAAGAGGATACGAATTGAATCGAAACGACACCCTGTCGATCATGGGATTGTTCGCCGAGTTCGACTTGTTCGACAAGTCGGCGGATGTCGACGAACGCTGGTACGACGACGAGGTGTTCGCAGAAAAAGCAAAGAAGATGCAGGTAAAACCGAACCTGTCGCTCTACGACTTGATCGAGTTAAAACCCAAAGAGGCGGCGAAACAACTCACGTGTATGGAATACTACGTAGGAATGCGTTCCTGGCATTGGCGTACGCTGTCTACAAGGCATATAGAGACTTTGATTTTGCATCTGTGCAACAAACTATCGAGGAAATTTTTCCGAGCATCGGCCCTGAATCCTTTCTTGAAACTAATTCACTATCGGCTGCCAATCGAGATGTGTGAAATGATCATCGAGACGCTGAACAACGAAGATTTACACAATATTTGCTTGGCAGATGCATTCGACCCGCGATAGCCTGAACAAAATAGTCGTCGGTGCAGTACAATGTATTATTTAATATTAATATTTGATGAAAAATACATAAATATGGTCGATTTTCTGGCCTGTCTAAAAAATTTTTTTAGATATTCGATTTTACTCGAAATTATTAATAAATATTTGTTATAATTGTTGTAATGATAATGTAAATAATAATTTTATTGTGTAAATATATGTTTTATTAGAATTATATGTTAGAATAATAATTTTATTATGTAAATAGGTGTTATTTAATGTTATAAGTTTTGATATGATTCAAATACATACATTGAAAAAATTATTTTCGACTTTTGTATTGATAATTCAACGATCATTCGAAGTAAAAAATTACGAATTATGTGGATCCATTGCTCAACGAGGAAATCAAGTAATATTCAAAAAATCGGATACTCGCACATCCTCAAATACTCGCACGCTGTAAGTGCAAGTCTAAGTTAGAGCGGCGTGCGGCGTTTATTTTTTTTTTTATGTACCGATATACGAGACACACCTGCCGCTTTCTCTCTCGCGCTATCTGTTTTGCTTCCCTTACACATTTTTATCGATTTTTTGCTTTATTTTGAGTTTTATGTACAAATAAAGTATTGAAAGCCTTTTATAACTCACAATTGTTCGACATAAAAGCGCTGCAAGTATATTTTGACGATCGATTACATCGTAAAAGAGCTTATCTATTTGTTAAAAAAAAATAATAATAATAAAACAAAAACAGCTCAGCACGAGACCACGACAATTTTGTAAAGTTTAAGCGCAATTTCGTATCGATATCACATAAGCCATATAAAACAAGCGCGTACGAAAGAATAACAACGCAACAAAACACACGCTCTCGCGAAAACAGAGAGAGAGAGACTATTAGCTCGTAAGTAAGCATTTTATAAAAGACAGATTTCGAGACAGAAGAGAGCAGAAAAAAAAGAATAAGAAGAGGTCGTAGAAGAGCATGAGCCGATAACGATCGCGTGCGTGCGTATATCGCGTTGAAAAGGGTACAGCACTGTGTATGTAGAGAGAAAAGTTTTTTTTTGGTCGAATGATGAAAATTGCCTGCATTGTAACGAAACACTTTCATCGTCATCAACGTCATCGTATACACAAGTGTAAGTGCGTGTGTGTGATGTAAAGCGCGGCTGTCTCGGCTCACCCGCTACTAGTCGCCGCTATCAAACGGCAACGGGGCATGCGCGCGGGCGCGCCTCTCGTCGTCGTCGTCGCGTTATAACGTAGCCACCGTCGCTGGCGAACAGTCGCTCTAAAAAGCACACCCGATATACCTTCGACATTTGTATACATATAGCTATACATGACGATATTCTCGCGCGAGCAGAAGAACGACTGCCTCTCGTGGGCTGCAATGCGCGGAGCTCTCTATGCAGTTTACGTGCGTGCGTGCTCGAGATAACAGAGCTGCTGCTGCTGCTACTGCTATGTAGAGAGGTATTTATTATGTCTCGTTTCGTGACTCCGATATCGTGGGGCTTGTTAAAACCCTCGGCGACGTTTACATAGATAGATTCGTCGTCTTATAGTCAACGATTCTTCGAGAAAAGTATCAACGAATTGCATATTTCGTCAGCTCGTTTAATTTCGTGCGAATAAAAAGACAGAAATACGCACGACAGCAACAACGAAAAAGAAAAAAAAGAAGAACGATTGAAAAAACAAAAAAAAACTGCAACCGTATATTTATGCAACGCGGGTTAATTGTTATAACGTTGTAGACTCTTCTGTTGCTGGGGCTACTGTGCGTCATCCTCTCTCTCTCTCTCTCTCTCACTCGTCGGGCTCTAGCTAGGCGCTGCTGTGTGCATTCTATATATTTATAGATGTATATAGCGCACAAACGTCGTCGTTTTGTTGCTATATAATATCAACGCACGCGAGCCGTACTAGGCACTGTATACATCGTCTCGCAGTTCAGACGGTTCTAGTAGTGCTCCGACTGCTGCTGTAGTAGTACAACAACGACTCAAAGTGACGTCTCTGCGTGTGCAGTGTTTTTGAGTGTTTTGTTTGTGTACGTTTGTGTGTGTTGGAGCGCACACAATTCGTGAATGTATACACTTGTGCCGTCTTCGTCGACGTCGTCGTCGTCGTCGTCGTCGTCGTCATTAGAGTACAGCAGTAGCGGTACATTTATATTTACCTACATACGTGCGAAAGTGAGCTAAAGCTTTGCCAGCAGCAGAAGCACACTACACGAGCAGCAGAAGCTTTTATCGTACCTATACAGTCCCAGCAGCGCGCAGAGCGTAGCGACTATGACGCGTCGACGACGACAAAGGCAGATGATTTGCAGAGAGAAATAGGCATGGAAGAAGGGCCGACAACCAAGTCGACGAGCTTCCCTGGCATCGTTTATTAATATCACACGCACATATCTCTCTCCTCCTCCACAAGCCTCTCTTATATTCGTGTAATATTATTACACACAGACTTTCCGCCGCTGCTGCTGCTCTCGTCCTGTCAGTGTATAATGTGTATCTCAAGTAATCGTTTCTCATCGTAGATACAGCATATTACGATACTATACCACTATTCGACATCCAACGCAGATATTTTTCAATTTTTCCTCTTGAACGTGAGTACCTTTAATGTCAACGTGTGCAGTTTATTCAGCTAACTTTTTTTTGCTCTCGAAATAGCGCATCTCTCCGTATAATATGGCTATCGCGTCGAGTGTGTCCCTGTGAGTTCATATAAACAAATCCCTTTAAACGTGTGTGTATACAAACACACACGCGCGTGCTCCTACATACGTACTCTCCGCTGCTGCTTGTACATAGAACGTCTATGTACACACGTACATATAGCACGCGTACGCACACAGACATAGCGTGCGCGAGCGAGCGAGAGAGAGACCTTGGAGAGCTCTGGGATGTATAATGCTCAGCTGATTTAGCCCGCTGATTCTATGCGAAGATCTCGCGCTCTCTCTCTCTCTCTCTCTGCTTGCGCCTTATCGAGATTCGATTTCAATGCCACACAGAAGCAGCAGCAGGCATGTAACGACCATCGGCCAAATGATATATACTCCCTCTCCCTCTTTGCTTTTTCTCGACTTTTTTATTGTTATTATTATTGTTATATTTTTGTATATAAAGCTCTTTACTCGTCTCTCGACTCGTATACTTAGAAAAACAATCGTTTTTTCGTCGAATTACCCAGCGTGCGCGCTTGTTTTTGTTTACCTTGTAAGGTACGGGGGAGTGCGGAGCATCGGGACATCCCAAGTTATAACGTCAATTGTAAACTTAATTTTAATTGTTTTTGAATTTTGAAAATAGTGGCGTAAAGCTAAGCTGAAGAACTTTACCTTGGTGCAAAAAATAAACAATTTTTCTAAGCAAACTTCTAATTATGAGTGAGGTTATATATTAGCGACGAATGTAAACATTGTCAATTGCGAGTGTTGCGCTACACGCAGAGCTGTCATTAGACCTCATTTTTCGTTATAATTCAAATCGTTATGAAAATGCTCGAAAGGTCGCGAAAAGAAATTTATCATGATAAATCGAGCTTAATTTTTAGAATCTAAACTACTTACCAAAAGGACTTTAAGTTTAACAAACAATCACAATTTTTCATTCGAATCTATAGAACAAAGCAAAAAAACGACCGAATTTTTGCGCTGCATTTTTCTACTGGACATCAATTGATTTTGACAACAATTTTCAAATCTGATTTTTCTTTTGTGGAAAAAATATTTCGATTCATTGTAAATCATTTCATGACGTCAAAAAATCTCAAATATTTGTTTCTTAGAAATTATGGGTGTCACTCTTAACTGCTTTGCTCGGTCTATGCCTCGCTCTCTCGATAGAGAAAGGGAGAAAGAGAGAGAGTGAGAACACGTCCGTGGATACAGTTCTCGAAAAGCTCCGTGTACGCGATCGTCATTCGCAGTTTGAATTGGGGCTTACCCCAGTCGACGCGACAACAAATATAGAAGCAATTTTTACAAAGCTGTTATGTAGCAATTGTCATAATTAACAATTACTCTTTCCTGACATATATATAGATAGTGATCGTCAGTGCGTGCGTATATTCGTACAAGTGGAAACTTTTATCTGTAACGTAAAATCGCACTCGTGTTTGTAAATAAATACCTATATACTCAAGTATCGCTGACGTCCATTGAGATTAGATACCTGCTAGATCGCGACGCCGATTAACAAGACTATTATTTTCAATCATTTTCATAATTATTTCTATCTAAAAGGTTTTTTATTTTTAAATTCGTTACCGTAATATAGTAGGTAAATAAACGTGCCTCCGTTCTTTTGTAAAAAATTTGATTTATTCTATTGATCCGATGTACAGTTTATTCATTTTAACAAACGCTTGTTTGCAGTTGAACAGTCTTTAAAAGATTGCAAACTCAATTTGCAAAAATGGAAGATAAGAGGAAGAAGAGTACTGAGGACGACGATGTGGCGAATTCGGATAATATAATCATTAATGAAATAGATGGTTTGCCCAATCTTCATCCCAACTTGGGTCAGTTAAATGATCTGCACACTACTAAAGAAGCAGAGGACGTGTTAAACAAGACCTTGGAGGATCTTTGTCATGACGAGGACTTACCTATGTCTGTAATTGTTACAAATGTAGACCCTCGAGTGTTCAGATCTGATGAACTGAAGGTATTCTAATTTTTCTTATCAAATTAATAATCAATACTAGGTCCCAATAATTTATGTTAATTTTTTTAATTTGTCAGGCTGAGATTGAAAAACTTTTCAAACAGTTTGGAGAAGTTGTAACGTTTCAGTACTTCAGATCATTTAGAAGAATGAGAGTAAACTATACATCACCAAGTGCAGCAGCCCACGCAAGGGTACAGTTGCACCAAGCTCACTTTGGTGAAACAGATATAAACTGCTACTTTGCCCAGCCTGTAACGCCTATAGGTATGTAAATTTCACATAATACAAATCATTAAAAATTATTTATAATACATATAATGTAATATAAATAAAATATACAAAATCCTCTTTTCCAGATGCTGATGACATACATTTACATCCACCTGCGCCAACGAAACAGTTCCTAATATCTCCACCAGCATCTCCACCTGTTGGTTGGGAACCATCTGAAGAGAATGAACCATTAGTTAATCATGATTTGCTTGCAGCTATTGCAAATTTAACTCCTGGTTTGTTTGGAATATATTTTTTATTGTACATTTGATACATTGTTTTTAAAAAAATGTAAGATAACAAGTAATTTTTTTTATTCAAACAGGAGAAAGTCATGAACTTCATGCTGGAACTACAAATCAACCAGGTATTGTTGTACATATTTGCGAAAATGCAAATAACTTGAAAACTAATCGATTGCCTCATACTCGTTGCCCTGATTAACGGCATTCGAAAACTAATGTTAATAGTAGTTATTTAAAGTTCAGTAAGATTTTTGGTGACTTTACAGTAAAAAATTTACGAATTTGCGTTCCGTACTTTTTTAGCGACTTTACAAAATTCTCGAAAAGTATCGTAAGTTTTTAAGAAAAAAAATTGTATCAACAAAAATAAACATTAGTAATGTTAATATTGTTAACTTTTAGTAATTGTGTTCCAGTTATGATTCTTCTAAGTATACCTTTATATAAGGTACAAGTAAAAAAAATTAATACTAATGAAAATTTATGAAATTATAATGATTAATATTAGAAATTTTTAAGATTATAGTATTATTGCATTAGAAAATTAAAACACCAAAAATCTTACTCATAAAAAATGAATATTATGAATATATCTAAGTGTAAGTGCATCCTTCCTTTACTGTCTACTATATATAACAAATTAATGGCGAATTGTACTCACATTGAAAGTGATCCATCCAAAAGGGTAATAAATATGTTTATATCCTATGTAATTCAAGTGTACAAGAAACAAGCTTAATTTGATGAAATTAAGATCACGTTTACAAATTTCATACTGTCACATTATAGCATTCTTGATGTTACATTGTGTCAGCAAGAAGGCAGACGATTAACGAAAGAACGTTTGATCAGAGAAATCGTTAATATAAAATACGAAACGATTATGCTTATAGTGTAGACGAATTGCACGCAAAATGCGCTGCTGGTCAGCTTTTTAGTTATACTCATAAGAAATGCTTATTAAAAATTTAATCTCGTGAGTATATTAAAATGCTTCAAAAAACAATATCATTACATATGTTAATACATAAACTTTTATGAAACAGATCTGAAACTGTAACTACTCTTATCACAGTTTTTGATGTTTACAAGTGTTGATTTTCTGAAAATTTCTTACTCATTGTAGTTAAACTGATAAAACAATTTCAGGTCTTTTCTTATTCTGAGTATATTCATTATGCAGATCAATCATACAAAGTACTTATTGTATATAATTTTGTCAATGCAATTACTTGTATTATATCCGAATTTTTTACTTTTATTTTTTAATGTTAACTTCAAAAGTATTAATTAAGTTAAATACATAGTTCGAATGAAATAAAATTGTTGGTTTGAAATTTAATAAATATTATGCTTTGAACCCCGAAATCTTTCATAAAGATGATATATTTTAACAATGAATTTTTCTAATGTTCAATCATGAAACAATGATAACACAAAAATGGCTGCCTAATAAAAGAATAAATTAATGACTTTTAGAAGCATGTGTTATTTAGGAATTGAAAGCAAAAATGTTGGCTATAAGAACTTAGAGTAACAACATTGGCACTCAATATAGTTCTTCCTTGAACAATGAGTGATATAAATTTTGGAGATGTAATTTCTGTAATAAAGTGTCAATGTTGGAAGTTGTAGTGCACACATGATTATTTTCATATTGATAGAAAGAAAATTAGTTTTATACAATCATTGTGTGTATTGGATAAAATGTAATTGGGTGATAATTTTATCATAAAAAAGAAATAATACATATGTAGAAACGAAAATTGAAGTATCGATAACTGTTACCTGCTTTTATAGAAAAGCTCATGAACAATCAAACTGAACACATGCGATTTTTAAAGTTTAAAATAAATTATCACAAATTGTCAAAAGAAAACCTGTATTACGACAAAATTATTATTGGTTAATTAGTACAACAATTAGTCAGAAGTAGCAGTTGAACATTTTTTATTATGCAGTAGAAACTCTTATGAACGTATTGATTTTAATTTTGTCGTAATTAGTGTTGCGCAGAATACTTTATCAAGAAATTTCGCAGAAAGTTTTAGTCTCTACATGATTTTCAAATATATGTAGAAATTTGTGCGTGTTAATTTGAAATAAAGTTGTTTTCGTAAAAATTGTATATATATCTGTCTTTCTAAATGTATTTATAGCTATTTTTTAATGCTACTTTTAGCGTAAAGTGTATGTTTTTGTAAGATATTCATGATTTAAAGGCTGTTTCCATTTGGTTGCACACTTTATCAATCATGTGTATGAAAAAAGTTCGCATACTCCAAATTTAAAGAAAAAAGTATTTTCATATGCGGAAAAAAGAAACAAAATCAATATTTAAAATGACATCCTGTTATCTTGAATTTCATAAAAAAATGCATGAGGATTTTGAATGATACATTTATCAAATGTAAGTAATGTAAAAAAATGATATCAAAACCATATCGCGGGATTATGCAAAGGTTGTGGCCGAGAAGTTTACTTTTTTCTAGTAATTTTACAATTATTTCCTAATGTAATAAATTAAAATTACTTTAACGACACTAATGGAAGTGTAAAAAATATTAATGCAATTCTTCAAAAATTATGTATAAACGAAATTCAGTTGTTTGCGAAAAAAGCTTTTAATTTATTTAAAGGATAATGAGTGGAAAGAAAATGTTCGGAAGCGGCATTAACTTGAGAGCCATTGCTAAAAATACATATTTATAGTTGTCGTTCAATTCGAATAAAAGAAATGGTAATTTATACAAGTTAAGGTACAAGTATATTGCCCTTAATCATTGTGAATATGTGTATATATGTGTATGTTTGTGAATGTCAAATGCTTATGCAAATGAAACAGGATATTGAGTATGAATTCAAGCTTATTGTATCTTTCCTTTTTTACTTAGGGTACAGCAAGTCTTAAACCTACTGTACTACAAAGTCTGAGTTATATACGTACTAAAGTTCGTAAATTTTTTTGGAACCCAAAGACAAATTATAAAAATGAATATAAGCGAAATGTGTCATCAATAATGTAAATAAATGATGAAAAATTCAATGGAGTTTTCATTAATATACCGCTTTCAATATTATTTTTGGAGAAGTATTGAAAAATAAAACTCGTTTTCGATTTAGATGTTTCATTTTAGTTTTTCAAATTCTTACATTTGAATATTCTCAACATTTAATAAATATTACAAAGGCTTTATACAATTTATCATTATTATTTACTTTACTGGCGAAAATTCATATTTAGCGCCAATAATGACAAAGTTCATTGATCAGTTTTTTATTTTAACACACTGTTTTATAACTTGGTTTTTAGAAAACTTTGGATTGTACAAAAAATCTACTATAATCCAAAATAAGACTGCACGTCAGAATCACTATGTAAAAATACACCATTCAGTAATATATAATAATAATTAAAACTAACAGTATTATCAAAAAAGACTCAGTAAATACTACAATTCGAAAATCGATGAAAAACATGTTCACTTTACGTTTGTTACATAACATTTATGGATTACTGATAAAATCCACTTCCACGATTCCATTAATTATATATAATTCTTTAGTTCAAGTGTTCCAGTTATTTTTTTAATATTTATGATTCTTCAATAAAATCATTTCCCAATTATATTGTAATTTGCATTATAAAACATTTTATTTCATTACAAACGTAATGCGTCGGGCGGTCACTTTAAAATCACAGTTATAAAAAAAATAGTTGTGAAAGAAAGTGGTATTTTCGTTTGTAAATTAAGGTTAATTCCAATTGCCTTAAAAATTAATAAAAATGACTATAATCATACGAATGCATTTACAACCGAGCTCAGTCAAATATTGAAATCGATTTTTGAAGCAACCTTTGCCCATCAAAGAAAAACAAAAGTAATCTGTTAATGCATCACAGCAATTTATCCGTAACCAAAAATTATTCAACCCAATTAACTCGCGACAAGACGTCCACTTTCCACAAACGCGTAACCGATGTTATAAAAATATAGTTTATCAATCGGCAAATGACTCGAATGATTTTTTTTCTGCTTAATTTTTGTTATGCTACGTACAAGAAAGTATTGATGTCATTTTCGTGTCTTTTTATGTACTTATGCTCAATAAGCCACTCAATCTGTTCCTTGATCATCTTTTTACTAGGTAAAAACATATTTTTCAGTATATCTATCAGTTCAGCTTGTAATTGAGTGTTATTGATTGTCTTTCGCATCTTAAGAATTTTAATGATGGCTTCCTGCAGAGTTAATGAAAAATAATAATTCTTTGTAATCTATGATTTAATCAACGAACTGAAGGATTGTTGTACTTACTTGAACACGTAGTATCCTAAGATGAACAATTGATTGATTATCTTCTTCTTTGCTGCGTTCAGTCGATAATTGCAACCGCCCTACCATATTTATTTTTCCACGTTTTTGCATCTTACCATTTTTTCTACGAAATTTTTAAATATTGATTACAAAAAATTTCCGAAGAATAAAAATTTAATAAAAAATACTTACACAATGGCAAATTCCTGGTTGACCCAAAACTTTGTGCCTAATGAATAGTCTTTTGGGCTGGCTGCTGGCGGATCAGCTATGAGAAGTTGTCGCTTGATTTTGGGAAACGCGCAAAGAGACCAAAGTGTTCTTCTTAATTCAGGATCTGGTAATTCCGTAGCGAGTTGCAAATTTTCATATGATATTTTATCCATGGGTCGTTCGTTCCAAGCAAATAGAACAGCCATTTGGAAAGTAGTTACATCAACATCGAAACGTCCTACTTGATTGACGAATGTGATCTGTGAAAAATGATTATTGTTAAATCATCCGTCGACCCGTCTACCCAACACTAAATAGCCTGTTTCTTACGGTTCCATTCGACATGTGATGATACCACTGTAGTTTGCGACCGCTATGTTTCTTTTTATAGAAATCTTCAACTTCAGGTATGTAATCTTCTAATTGGAGAGGCAAACTAACTGTAACTCGTTCGCTACCTCTTGCCCACGCTCCAGCATTTAATATCTGAAATTAAACAATGAACATATTTATACTTTCAATGTTCACTACAGTAATTTAAAAAGTGGTGTTTCTTTTAGTACCTTAATATTGATGCTGTCTGCAATGGCTGCACGGCATTGTTCTTTAAATTGTTGATTCAGATCTGATGAAACTTTAATGTCCTGGAACATTCGTGCTAATTTATTAACGTAATCCGCTGGCATACCAACTTCTCTTAACCATTCAACCATGTTTTCTTCTTTTTCAGAATCGGCGGAAGTATCAAGAATTAAACGTCTTGTCAAATGCGCTTTATGATACCTCATAAACACATCTTTATTCTGAACATATTTGAGTACCAAAAGCTGCAAGTAAAATAATTCGAAATTAATCATAACTTATTTGACATCGAAAAATAGCTTTGAGAAACTATGCATACCACGTCTCTAAGTTTGCTTTCAATTTCATCTGAAGTTAGTTTTTTGCTTAGTGGAGTCTTTCTCAGTAACATATCACAGTAATTAGCTAAAAGTTCAGGGCACTTGCTTTCGGGTAGTCCAGGAATATTATTATTTACGGGCTTATTGATAATAGCACCACCAACAATAAGAGGCATATTAGGTGGCGCAGGACGAATAGGTAATTCTAATTTGAATACAGATGAGTCGTTTACAACAAGTTTGTAAGCTTTATCACGCGCGGTAAGGAATCGTGGATCATCGTCAAATGCTTCTTTAACTAGAGCCGAGAAACGTCGGAACAGCTCTAACAGTCGTTCAACATATTTTTCAGAGTCTTGAGTTATAATATCAACTGCAGCCATCATATCATCTAAACCAGCAGTCGCAATATGTTCTTCCAAGTTTGCTAACATAGGAGTTACTCCGTCTTCAACTCTATCCATCAGTTTTAACATCAATCTAAGCTCTGCGCAGTGAAATGTAAACGTTCAATTTCCATATTATCAGATTATTATATTATTAAAATGAAAAATATATCTTACTTTCAGTTTCATACTCTTTTATCATCCTAGGGCATTCAGCGAGAATAGGAGTTTTGAAATTAGCAACAAGAGTCTTAACACAACGATCCATAAGCAAAGCCACACTTGTGCTATTGGGTTCAAGATATTTTTGAGCTCGTAGTTCTTCTTCTTTGAGTTTTGCCTCTGCAAATTTCATGTACTTTTCTACCCCATGAAGTTCTAAATGTTCAGTTGCTTTTACCCAATAAAAGGCCTCTGTTGCATCTATATAAGCAGCTTCAAAATTTTCTCTATATATTTCTAGTTTATCCAAAGGGTTTGAGCACAGATTCACTGAAATAGGAAAAATAAGTGTAAGAAAAATCTGGTATTTTTGAAATAAAAATACATAAAATGATAATGGAACTTTTTATACCATAAGATTCTCTCACACCAATAACCAACTGTGAGTCAAAAACTTCACCATTTCTCTCAGTTCTAACTAGTTTCATGGCGGAGTCTTGCAGTCTTTGCTTAATATCGTTGAAAATACTTTGGTTCCAACTGTCTAACATCAACTATAAAAACAAGTATATAGATCAATTTGCAACTTGATTGTAATAAATTAAATTTTAACTTGAAGCATAAGTAAAATTTTTAATTACTAACCTTTCTCACAATGCTTTCCTCTTGCTGGTTTTTCTTTTGAGTGGATGTAGTCTTACCACGCAATGAGGCTTCCAATTGTCTAAATGGGGTAGGTAAGTAGTCACATTGCGTAAAAAACTTTCTCCACTCTGAAATATAAGCCTTTAAGAGGGCTTGTTCTTCTTGATGTGCCATGACCCTCTAAAATTGAAATAAATTTATTAATAATCTATAAAAATATTACTCATTTAAAAGAAAACTTTTAGAGAAACTTTTTGAATTACTTTTTGGGCTTGTTTAATGAACTCCATGATGTCTTCTCGTAAGGCATCTCTGAGCTTTGGTGGACCTTTTTCGTCTAGGCATACCTGATGAACTGAATAGAATAGATCTTGCCATTCTAATTGTGTAACGGGCTCTTGTTTCAAGAGATTGAGTATAATTGGTCGCATACATGGCCATGCTTCTTCAAATGTGAATTGACTCTTAAAAAGCAAATTAATATTTTAAATTAAAAAAAGTAAATTATAAAAATTAAATAACATGATTAAAACTAATGATTTCGAATCTACTCAATATACAATATTGAGGTCAATATAAGTCATCAACACATATCAAACAATATCACATTTTCGTTCCAATGATTAGACTTTGATGATTAATAATAATCAAAATAACTCAATTCTTTCAAAATGTCTTTACAACAAATCAATTTTTCATTTCGCCATTTTAATAATGCTAAAAAACGTTAAACTCAACTTATTTAATACCGACAATCAATGACCTCTAACGTTTGTTTTCATCGGCAATGAAATATTTTCTTCACAATTGAAGTTTGAATAAGATATTGATTACAAAGTTCTTGAAATCAAACAAAGCAACAATACAGGTATGACTGGTGTTACTTTTAAATCAACTCGAAAAATTTTACGTTCGGCTTGTTGTATCGTAGATGAAAAAACAAAGCCGGTTGAAGACTCTAAAAACGAAATTACTCTCAATGCAAACGAGTAACACTGCCGCACGATTAATCACACGCAGTCGATAGGGGACCGAATAATTTGTTGAATATTTTTGAGAAAAATTAACCAACCTTTAATAAAGACATTACAAATATTTTGACATGTCCTGTCGCGCAAAGTTGCGAGGCTGATGTGTACTAGTCTGTGCGCCCGAGGTTAAGTGACCACGCCAAACGCGATTCGCTGAGAAGCGTATGGGATCTTATCTTGCATTGCAGAACGTATGGTACAGTGGCTACTGTGGAGAGAAATCAAGATTCGCGCGTAAAAGACCGTAAAAGCAAGGGTAATGTGACTTAGCATTAATCAGCTGCTGAATGAGCTTCGCTAGTCGCTACCGACAATATTTATTGTAGATGTTGACATTTTTAACGATACCTATTTTTGCGTAAGACAATCGGCAACAATTTTAAAATTAGAATCTGATATAGGCTTTGGATCATCTATAAATCGGGTACTCACTATTTTTCATTGGGTGTACGCTTTGTCAAAATATAAATAGGGTGAGAAAGGTATTCGTATGAGGAAAATGAGGATCTATCTAGACATCAATATTTATATATTTATTATTCAATATTTATTATAAGTTTTCAGATACATAGCAACAGACATTCATTCATATATCTAGATACAATTTAATTATGTCTTTAGAAGCGTGTGAAATTATTATTTCATAATAAACCATGTATGTAATAGATTATAAAGAACGAATCTTCTGAGATTCAAATTTATAGTTCAACAGATAATACAATAGCAATAAGTTAAATCTTGTTATCAAATTTTGAAATCGAGAAATTTTTCAATATTCATCAATACTTAGTATTATCACAAGGCAGTCGCCTAGGCGTTCATTGGCATTTAAATAAATAGCTTGAAACGCTTTTTTCGTTTTATTTTTAGCACGTTATTAATTTATAAGAGCAACGTTCAGTTGGTACTGCACATAAATTGTACACGAATATCCTTAGTACAAAATTTACTTTCTTTTTCAATGCTCTCACATGAATTACATTATTTCATGAAATAATGAGCGCGTAAAAAAATGCATTTTTCTTTTCTTGATCTTATTATTGGTGCATACTGATATTAATTAGTTGCGTAGCCTTATAGCATATTAAAATGTTGGAATTGCCTTCGCCACTATGACAAGACAAATAGTAATAAGATGGCCGATTCGCTGATGTGTAATCTTTTTTTCAAACGTTGTGGTTTTGTCGTAGAATCTTTTTAATTATTCATTTGGTAACGTTTTAGAATCTTACATAACAAATTCATACAATTGCTATTGCGTTTTTAACGACACTTTAATACATTCACTAATTAGTTAATACCGTTTATTAAATATATAATAACATAATGACAGTTGCACAATAAGTTATTTTACTTTTTTTAAGGATACCTTAATTATTTTTTTCATTAACTAAATATATATCAATGGTCGCAGTTATTAAAGATTATGTTAATCAGCAGTCTATGTCGCAAAAGTGTGAAAGAGACGAGTTACCTCGAAAATCTATTAATTCAATTCGTTTCAATGACCCTCCGAAAAATTTAATTTTTTAACATGCTTTCGTACTATACAAGTGTGCGATACTGTTATCAACTACATCTGCGTGAAATAAAATATATTCAATCTTAAAAATTAAAACAAGTCGTACAAATCTACAGTAGTATATTTCATCTGATAAATAGTATCTAAAAATCATTAAATTCGTTTAATTATGCGATGAGGATTTGTCGAGTACTTGACTTGTACATAAAATAATATATATAATATAATTCATATATATTTCGTTAACATACGTATTCCACTATCGAGCACTGTATATACAGTACAATGAATAATGAAAAAAGTACCATTCACACATCTCAATATATATCATTGAGTTTTCTCCTAAAAGTAATTTAGAGAAATTACACGTGTGAAGAAAAATAAAGTTCATTAAATATTATGTTTTTGTTGAAAATATATAAACAATCTGATTATTTCCTTATTTGGAAATGGATAAGCGCAGACAAGCCTTTCGGAGGCATTCTCAGCTGTTCTGTGTTGGTCTTCGGATGACATTTCCTCGTCACACTGCACACTTTTTTTCTCTTCTTCCCATATTTTTTTTTCTTTTTGATTTTCGTACTTAGCACCGAATCATGTGCGAGAAGTTGGATGTTGTTTACCAGAAGCCTCCGGCGCTGCGTCCACCTGGAGGATTTCTCACGCGAATCGATAATCGCTGAGGTTCTTTGGAGTCTTCTGTAAATAAAAGAAAAGTTATTACGTATAACTTATAACTGTTTTGCAAGTCAATAAAAAGAGCAACACAACTCTCACCGCTAATGGAGAACGTGGAATCCTGAAGATTTCTCTGTCCTTCGAGTCTGGGTCCCTTGACGCTCGGCGGCGCGGTGTTCGAGGTGGGGAAGGTGGCGCTGAAGGGTCGCGCGTCCCCGTTGTTCTCGCTGCCGTTGTTGTGGCCATTGGTATGCGGATGCGCGGAGTTGTTCTGCATCGCGGCCGCGGCTGCAGCTTGAGCCTGGGCCTTGGCGATTCTCGCGGCCTCGCGCGCCTTGGCCAGAGCCAGGTCCTCCTCGTGCTGTCGCTTGGCGTCGGCCTCGCTGCGCGCCACGCCGCGTGGTTGCTTCTCGTGCTCCTCGACCGCGTCGTACACGTAGGCCGGATAGGGCAGAGTCTCGAGGTACTTGCCAAAGCCGTGGACGGCCTTGACCTGGCACTCGTCCACGCAGACGCGACCGCCGACGATCACGTACTCGGCCACCCCGTGGACCTCCATACCCTGTAAGAAAAATAATGTTTTGCATAAGTCAAGTTTATAGAGTATCGTATGATGAAATGTTACGAGGCATGATCCTCGCACGAGTGCGGCTCGCTCGCTCGCTATCACACACACACACACACACACACAACACACGCGGTCATAACCGGGTTTCAGCGGCGCGTGTAATTTACCGCAATGAACAGTAGCGGATATATATCCAACGGTTGTTGCACGGGAACGCACGCACCACATATCATGCGTATGTATATGTATACAATAAAAGCGTATACAACAGTATAATAGGTATACGCGAGTATTATCAAAACGTTCGGGGCGTTTCGAATGATATATGTAGCTATAATATTACCTCGAAGATATTGAAATCGACGGCCTGATGATGGGTCTCTGCCGAGATGATTCTCTTGCGGCTCGGGTCCCAGACGACGATGTCGGCGTCCGAGCCGACGGCCACCACGCCCTTGCGCGGATACAGATTGAAGATGCGCGCGGCGTTGGTGCTGGTCACAGCGACGAAGCGCGTCGGGTCCATCAGGCCGGCGTGCACGCCCTTCTCCCAGACCACGGACATGCGATCCTCGACGCCGTTCACGCCGTTCGGTATCTTCGAGAAGTCGTCCTTGCCCAGGGCCTTCTGGTCGGCGTTGAAGGTGCAATTATCGCTGCCGGTCACTTGCAGTCCGTCGCTATATTTTTATTTAGAAGGAAGAAAAAAATCGTTTGAAGATTCGATTAATTATTATCCGGCTGGATTGGCACCGATGATCTAGAGAAAAGTTTACATCAACGTTGACTACATCTACAAAATGTTAGTACATTGTTAATTTGATCGAGTTTTACGATGCGCGTCGAATGATGATAACTAGAAATCGGTTAACGATCGTCTCGTCTTTTTACGTCGCCGAAGAACAAAAGTAAAACGCGATCCACCATTGTCGCGCATTCACACGGACGATCGCGAGTTGATCCGAACTTTCTCACGCAGTTGTTACCGCAGTCTCCGATGAATTGTCCCACAGCAACTGTTCGCAATGCTTAATTATAAGATCCGATGAAAATCGGCAGTATATACACATATCGTAAAAATCAATTTCCCTTTTCTACGCTACTATTATTACTGCTAATACTATTTTTCTCCATTAGCTGTGCGTGCGCGTGCAGCACAGCATTCTCCATTTCTCTTCGACGAGGATCGGCGAACAAAAAAAGTCGAGTTACAAATAGAGAGACCATCTCATCGAGTGCGCGCCCGCTGAGAAACAGGTCTATATATTCGCAGATCGTCTCTCGATCTCACCGCGCGGAAAAAGTAATTTCTCTGTATGGGATGCGGGATTTTTTTGTCCCTGTATACGAGTGCCAACAAAGAGAAAATGTTGTTAATAGCCTACACGTGAGACTCGCGATCGCCGATGCCTTAAAGAAACGATTGGCAAAAATGACGAATTGTGAATTTATTATGTCGTTATACTCGATCCACGCGCATCTATGCGAAGGAATGAAGTTTTAATCTCGTCTACATGCGAAAAAAGAAGTCGATCTTTGATTAACTAGAATTCTCTTATACGTGTTCTATATTTATAGTAGCACTACAAACGAATCGAATCTACTGTATACGATAAGAAAAATACATACGCACACATACGGAGACATACAACTTACTGAGCTAATTGTTCGGACAAGTAAGCAGGCGTCGTGGGATCGGGCCTCAAGGGCGGATTGGTAACTAGCCTTCTGGCCCGATTGGCGTCTTTGCCGTACTGAGCGGATCCATCGATGCCCAGCGCGGCGACGAGCGGCTCGCCGAAAACGACGACGCCATCGAGCTTGCGCGCCGCGACGATGTCCGCCGCAGATTTGCTCGTTATCGCCGAAATGTAGAGCGGACAGTTCAGCTGCGTTTATGAGGATCGTTTGGTTTGGTCATCTTTTTTTTTTGTTCAATTTATCAAAGTTTTCATCGCTACATTGAGAGAGGACGACGGCGACGTAACACGGAAAAATGAAAATGCGAATGTTTTGATTTATCTTATCGAGAAACGAGACGGCATTAGGGTTTACGTATTAATTACCGATACATAGTAGTGCGGAGATAAGATTTCAAATGTAAAACTCGCGAGAGCGTGGATATGCGCACTTTTTGCCAGCAATTTACACCTTTGTTAGTGTAATGAAGTATTTTCTCCAAATAACACACAATGACGCGAAAATGAGAAACTCAACAGCGACTCGATGAGTTTTCATCCGTGATAGTTATGTTATATGAATACACAATGCGCCTTACATAGAGCACGCTATAGGTGCCTATAGGTGTAGAAAGTCTCGCGAGCGTGAAATTCATTCGTCCGCAAAAAAATCCATTGTACGTTTGAGGATAATGTGTAAAAAAAATAAAGAAGGGTATGTGGCAGCTTAGGGCGTATGATTGTTGGAATAATTTACGACCCGCGCGTCGTCCTCGTTTTGTATAATATAAGGTTAAACAAACGTCGACGGAGAGAGAGAAAAAAGTACAAGTATACAACACATATACATAATAAGCTAAGAAGCTTGCAACAAAAAAATTAAGAGATGAGAGTAAAAAGTGTTGCATTGATCTTTCACTAAACATGTCAACAGAAAAATCATAAAATACAAACTTGCTACTCGTCCAATAGATATACAGTTACGCACACACATTTATACAGGCTAAATATATATAGGTAATATAATGTAAAAGATAAACGTCGGTGTGCGCACTACTCTCATTACATGCGAGTCGCGTACGATACAGTCGACGACGATTTAGATTGACATCGATGATCACGACGACGGCTACGCTATAGGCTGCTCGTGTGCGTATAATACATACGATAGCGTAGGCTTCGCAAATCAAATCGTGCCTGATATTACACATGCAACTATGTTTATATTGATCATAATCAATCCAGCAACTATTGGCTTTCTTATACACGTATACATGCACACAAGCGATCTCGATGTTTATTATATACGAACGGGTGGAAAGTTGATATTATCTTATGTGTACAAGCGAGACGATAAATCTCTGTGCCACCGATGGCAATTATTATGTATATGAATCTATTGGCGAATGATGATGATGATGCACACGCGTGACGTAATTGCAGCGAAAAAACATACACACATGCGTGCAGAGAGCCTTGATAAGCAATTTTCCTAGCTGTAAACTGCAATGTTGTTTTCGACGTGCTTTTTTTCCATTTTATGGGTTTTATCTACGAGGGGATATTTTTATTTGTAAAAGTTATATCAAGAAAATAAAACTTTCAAAGTCACATTCATCGCTGATTTTTCATCGATTTATCATTATCAACGATTATTAAATCGGTTGAGTTATCTTTCGTAGTCGAATGGAATAATCTGCCTGACATTGAGGTTTTTTAATTCATCGAGCTAATAATAGTAGTTTAAAACCCCGAACAATGATAATAGATTGAAATTAAATCTCGAGCTATCACACAAAGCTTCGACATATTAGTGTCGCACTGCATCGAATTACTGTAATCTATTTATGTTTATCGATATCCGCCCCATGTCGCAGCTCGAAGAGTTTAATACGCTCAAACTTCGAGCCCCGAATCAATAACGGTCGGTGAAATTGACTTACTATTTGGTCAATCGACGATATGGTCGAGCATGCCAATACAGACGCGATGTAGGTATCGCTATCGTGTCAGTCTCGCGTCAGTCTTCGGGACGTGGCGTGTCCGCGATACGTTACGTTACGGAACTCAAGTTTACAGCTGTGACTGCGAAAATCTATTTTCTATTCATGGGTCCCTCTTGCAAATTTACAAACATCCCGTAGAAATCGCATTTCTCGCTGTGGCGCGTCTGCGTTTACGCCACGAACGGCTTGCCTATAGAATACGCTAAACCACAATGAAAGTTGTTATTCAGGCTTTTTTCCATTTTTCTCGCGCTTTCTTGTATCTTGTAATAATTAAATACTTTATTTACACGCTCGCGCGGTGCCGCTGCGGCAGCGCCTCGGTTGCTTTATTATGAGTTTCACGCGAGTGCTCCATTGATGTATCTCTCATCGCGTTCTTGCGTGTTGATAAAAACTATAAATGAAACTTTTTTTCCGGCCCCCCCTCGAGAGTCGCGGAAAAGAAAAACTGAATTGAATTTAATGGCGCCCATTTTCTACGCTTCGACAATTTAAAAAAGCTATCAACGACGCTGTAGACTGTTATAGATCGTTTGGGACGACCGTTTCGTCAAGTAGCTCAATCGTGAGAGTTGGTACTCGCTAACGATTTTTCAAGCGCGAGTTCACACATTTTCATCTGATGTTTACTTTATCCGCAAGTGGAAAATATAGAGACGTGGTACGATTCGATAACTATTTCTATGTTAGTGGTATTAATCTTTTACATAAGCATATCAATGATTTCAAATGTTTGAAAAAATATTTATAGCTAACATCGACTTCGATACACAAACGCAAAATTCATATAAGTCATCGTTATGTGAACTGTTATACTTCGGATAAAAAGCGTTGTTTACTGTACAAGCTCCCGTGAGTTAAAATCATAAAATAGAGTCGAATCATCGGCTCGAAGTAAGCTTTCATAATTTCCCATGCTAAGTAATTATACACCACGCATGCTGCGTACTGCTTACATTAAGTTTTAGCACCTGTCAATGGAACTTCCGTCTCGCGTAATTCGAAAATCACTGATATGCTGCATGATATAATTATATATACGATGCCCAACACCTGTGCAGCTTTACTGCAATATTAATGCTCCTTTTAATATTTTTCCCCTTGTTTTGTTTTGTTCAACCATGATATACTCACACAACGAGTTTCTTCATGAGGGCTTCGGGCGTATCGGGATCGGGCCTCAGCGGCGGACTCAGTACGTGTCCAGCTGCGTGTCTCCAGCATTTGTGCTGATAGGTCGTGCCGTCGGTACCGAGGGCCGCGGCGAGGGTCTCGCCCCAAACGCAAACGCCACGAGCACGAGCGTCGGAGAGCGCATCGGCGGCGCTGCGACTCATCACGTGCACGACGTACAGCGGGCACGATACCTTGAATTTTTTCGTTTATGTTTTTGCTTTCATTGGTGTCTACTTTTTTGCTTTGCTCTTTATGTATTTTCATTAAGCTGTGACGGACGATGTTGATGTGGATTTGGAGCATAAGGTCGACGTTTCATAGAATTCAATGAGTGCGCTCGACTAATAGAGCTTAATTGCGTAATGGCACCGAGTAGATTATTATTTTATAAACGCCTACTTATTGCGCGTTTAATGCTGCTCCTTTATTAAAAGCGGGTAAACGCGTACCGCGGCTTTGATGAAAGTCATAAAATTTCGAGTAATTTACTTGACATTAGTTCGAAAGTGTCTAAAATCAATTTTTTCAAAACTATATATAAACATCGCGTGCTCGCAACTTTCTACGAGGAAAAATATATTAAAAAGCCTACATGCACACATCAGCACGTCCGTCATTACACTTTTGTTCACGATTCATAAAAAAAAAATCCGCAGCATCAGCCGACTTCTCTTTCGTATTATTCAACTTCCTTCATACCACTTCCTTTTCTTTTATTCTCTCGAACTCTCATGTACGCGGCGGCGGCTTCTCGTATATAGGATGCACTCGAAGTTGCGCAGCGCAAGCTTCTTTTGTATTGCACACATTACACTCTCGCTCCTCCTTATCGTTTAACGAGCGAAAGAATTAACGTGTCTGCGGGTGACAGCGTTTAATTTTCTGCGTTTATTGTGCAAGAGAGTATTTTGATAAAAAAAGAAAAAATGTAAAAATTAAAATGGCCATGCAAATTTTTACAACAAATAGAGCGTCTCTTGAACATGTAAAATACACTACGTTGCGCAATACACTAAACAGCACATAATATATTACGTACTAAGAAATGCAAATAGAAGCGCCTTCGTGATATGGCGTGTTTGTTCACTACACATGGCATCTCATGGTATGCTCTCAGAGTGCTCAAGAATGAAACACATACGTTTATTGTACTCGAGTGCATGAGTCGAGAAAATAAATCTTGAATTTAATAAAATAAAATAAAAAAGTAAAATGGCAATTCAACATCAAAATCAGCGTACTTAACAAAAGAAAATGATGCGTGAAGAGATACAAGAGGAGTCAAAATGCGATTTTGATGACGATGAAGAAAAAAATTATTCAGCTCTTTTGTAAGGCGAAGCTAATCTTACAGCGGCACACATATGACATCTGTTCGTATAATAGCTGCGCACGGTAAACGTAAATGCATAAAAAGACATTTTTATTTTTAATGCCGCATTTGCCGTAATAAATCTATCGCATCCGGATAGTTTTATCATCATCGTCGTCGTCGTCGCATTGCACCGTAAATGCAGTGTCGAGTATAGTACAGTAGTACACTACTGCGTGAAACTACAGCACATGTGCGTGCACGCATAGGCTCGCGCACATCCGGGGATAACGCACAAGCCCTATATACTCGCTGCACACGCACACACATACCGTGCATATACAGTGCACTCACCTGATTCGCGATGATGCAAGCGCGGTTAACGGCTTCCGCTTCGACCTCTTCGGGCCGTGACATCTCGTGACCCTCGGGGCCCGTGACGCCGGCTGCCAGTAGTTTCTTTGTGTTCTGGTGAAATAAAGTGGTGAATAAAGATTAGAGAAAGAAATAATTATATCATTATAAAATTGCAAACACGATTGACAGTACGAGCAAAAAATTGTCCAAACGGGTTGCTGCTTTAACTGGCGGCAATATAGAAACTGCGGATAAATTAAGATCGAATCGAAGCAGAAAAGTTTTTGTCGGGAAGCGCGCTCGCAGCGAGATAAATCGTTTTAGTCGAACAGAATGGCAATCTAGATGGAAAGCAGATCTATGTACCAAGCCGCCAGATAAAGCATTAATGCATACAGCCGCGCCGAATTCCCATGATAAATTATGCAGGCGGGCGTGCGTACGCATGCACTTCACTTTATATATACACACACATAACATTATGTGTGCAAATGGATATGTATGCGAGTTTTAACATACCTCGTAAATGATATCACCGTTCTCAGCGTGCACCATTGCTACGGCTCCGAGGCTCTTGCAGACCTTGAAAGCCTCGATCAGCTCCGGATCTCTCAGCATGAAGACGTCGCGATAAGCCATGAAAAATTTGAAGCTGTTGACGCCGTGCTCCTGCACGAGAGTTGCCATTTCCTCGCGGGTCTGTGCGCGCGTGCGAAAAAACAAAAAAGTTTTGATTACATTTTACAATGAACTGAGAGCTGTTTTTACGATTGTTACCAAGCCTACCACGAAATCTACCCGACACATCGACCTACAAAAAAATTCAACTATTTATCGCAGGTATTATACATATTTTTTTTCGGACTCTATAAATACAAAGTTACAAAACAAAGTAAGTCAAACTCGAATGACTTCGAACTCGTTCGTGGGTAAATTATATCGCGCATCGATCGGAACCTTTTGTTTTTCTGTATTATTTGAGCGCGCAGGGGGATATATTTATTTCAACCGAACCTTTGTATAAAACGTGACGATATAGAAAATAATCATTGGCGAATTTAATTTCTCTCTCTTTCAGACAGCGCAGCGCGACTCTCATCATCACGCAACAATTTGCACATGCAGCGGGCTGCAGCGAGGAGACGCGAGCTCGAGAGCTCCAGAGGTCATTGCCTCTTTCTCTCTCGGTTCGCTTTATTCTATTTTATTCGTAGACGCGATTTTCGCATTCGAGTATCTGTCACATATAAAATTGAATATAATGGCCGATTCTTAGTGAAATTAAATTACCTTAAATTTTGTTGCTTTTGATGTCATATGCATTTCCGTAAATTTTATTCTTAAAACAAGACGTCAGAGAGTATAAATAAAATATTTGAGGATATGCATGACATCAGAAACAACAAGTTTCTCAATTATATACAGCCAAGCGCGGAAGTAAATTAGCATTTTAGAAACTTTCTATACGCGATTACGAGCGTCATCTTTCTCGCGCACGAGCGCACCGTTGATTATGTTATTTTCCCGTAATTTCCGCGGGCATTATATATAAATAATATATCTATATATAATAAATTTCCCAAGAGTTGTATGTCTCGCAGGCGCGCAAAAATTACCGCACGAGGAATTGTTAAAGCTTGATAGATCAGATTTATACGATGCATAATTTATGTGCGTGTGCGCCTATACAGTAGCCAATGTTGCTTGTAGCAGTAGCTGTAGTAGTAGTAGTAGGTATCATATGTGTGCCGCGGATTGGCCTCGATCACGCAAAGTCTGTAGTGCTGCTGCTGTCTTGTATTTCCTCCGCGCCACCGATGCAGCCGCGTCGTGTAGCATATTCTTCTATTTTTTTTGCCTCAACTAGGACGTTGTACGATTTATTCGCGATATAGATAGCTGCTACACGTACATCAGTAGCTATATAGCGCAATCAAGCTTTCCCCCGCGTAATTCTGTATAGCACAGAACTATAATAATATACGCATCTCGTCCTGCGATCCGCCGGCGCAACAACAACTCACCTTGGCGTCCCACTTGGTGACGGCTACGTGTAGCGCGTAATCGCAGCAGACCTTCTCGTCGGCGGTCATGCGGTACCTCTCGTAGGCCTCGAGCAGGCCCTCGTCCTGCTGCGGAATGACGAAGTCGATGACGCTGGTGGTGCCGCCCGCCAGCGCGGCTTTCGTGCCCTGATAGAAGTCGTCGACGCTCCTGGCGCCCATCATCTGCAGCTCGAAGTGCGTGTGCGGATCGATGCCGCCGGGCATGATGTAGCGGCCGCGCGCGTCTATGGTGCGCGTACCGCCCGGTATTATGAGATTCCGTCCCAGCTCCCTGCGGGTAAAATAATCATGATAACAATGATAAATAAGTAAGTAAGTACCGGACGATTTTCAATTAAGAATGATTTATGGGTGGCACACACACACACAATATATCTATCTATAAATAAGTACACGTTATGCGCGTAGGAGTGCAATAGCAGTTTATATATTAATCGAGTTTTGAATGTCACTCGTGGTCTTACTTGATAACGCCGTCCTCGACGAACACATCGGCGTCAAAGATCCCATCCTCGTTGACGACTTTGCCATTTTTAATCAGCAGTCGGTTCTGCGAGCTCTGAAAAATGAAAAAAAGTCACGATATAAATATTCGATTCAATTTATCCTTGATTTACATATATGCTACGTATATTATGGGCACACACGTGCGCTGCGCAAAAAGCTGCAACGAGCCGTTGCTGCTGCTGTGTATTATCTCCCCTAAACCTCTTTACATAATGACAATTAATAATCGTCGTTCTAGATTATTTTCACGCACGAGACCATCATCTCGCTGCTTTTGCACGCATACTCCCCCCGCACGTTCGTTAGTTCGTCATATATTAAGCATTGATTTATCGACGCAATCCTACGCACACCCTCTACCCGAAGCGAGTGGTTCGTCGCTCCCCTTTTGGGATTATTTTACAAGCAGGCACGTACATACGTATATATCCTCCAACACGAGAGCAAAACTCGGAGCTTATGGATTTTTTTTTCATGTATACGTACGAGAAAGGGAGAACCACAAGGATACGAGACAGAGCGAGTGTATCGCGTGTACAAGTGCAGGAATTTTGCGCTCTGCCTGTCTTCCGTACTTGTATGTTGCGTCGCGCGCTACTACGACGAGCGAGGGTGTAATACACTCGTTTTCTGTATTTCAGCGCGACGAAAGGGAGAGAGAGAGAAGAAACGAAAGGGATCGTCGTGTGCAGCAAGCACGCCAGAGAGAGGCTTTTTATACTCTTTCTTCTTTTTTTTCATGTTTTATCGTCGCGCGAGTGCCTATGTCTCGTGCGTATAGTATCGCTCGTCGTGGAATAATGCCTGCTAGTACTACGGTACGCACCGACGACTTTTAAATTGTAAACGTATAGCAGCTCGTGCACAGCATGTGACTGCCTATATGTATCTACGTGGAAGTTGACACGACGATGACACGCCACGCAGCGTGGGTACCTGCGGTTTCTCTGTTTATCTCGGGCAGCATAAAACGTACACAGTGTATAAATATCGCGCGCACTCAGCATGAAAACTTTCATCCCGTATCGTGCACTGCTGCACTATCGTGCATCGAAATTCATTTTTTTACGTAACGACAGCATAATAAAACAAAGTCGCGCGTCGATTAGCTCGTATAAAACGAATGTCAATATCATCGGATAAAGAGACACACCCATATGTATACGCATCGGATATAGCAAAGCGGGTGTACATTTTAAACTCGTTATTTTCTACTTCCCGTCAAATTATAATGCATACGCGCGCGCGTGTGTATATACAGTATATGCTATGACGTTGGGTGTAGTATACAAAGACATGCGTAGAGAGTCCGATTAATAAGGAAGATTATATTGAAGCTAATGAATTGGGATGTTCGCGGGAGAGCGCATGAAAATTGAGCTATGGCCAATCATGCGCTTCATTGAAGGCGCAAATATGTGTAACGTGTATAGTGTACTACTAAATGCACATGCATCGCGTATGCACCTCGTCGAGTCAAGCGTAACGAGCAACTAATCTTTCTAAGTTCAAGTTACTGCAGTGCCATTCATATGACAAATGGTTCAATTGACACTCGCACGTATACGTACTACAAATTACAACAGGTACATGACTGTGCACGAGCTAGTTCGAGCGGTCTTCAAGTTCAAGACTATTATACTTGAATGATAAAAAAAGTAACTCATACGCGCGAGGGCAAACCACTGAATGACAGAAGAAGAAAAAATGGCGTGTACGATAAATAAGCCGCGCGCGCGAGAGGCCAACAAAAGAATCATCCGCGCGTATTATAATACAAGTCGTACACATTAAAGAATACATATAACGGACCTCTTGGCGTGCACAAACTCACTCGCGGACAATTCTCAATTTTTATTATTCTTTTCTTTTCCCTCTGTTTCTCGTCTAATGCACTGCGGCAGGAGCGACGTTTCGCCTAATATGAAAATATCTCTAGCGTGACTTTTCTCTCTCTCTCTCTCTCTTTCGCTACTTTTCTACTTGCCTATTTGTGGTTAGTTAGACTCACTGGCATTCGACGTTTCCACGCTCGAGTCTTTCTTTCTTTCTTTCTTTTTTTACGAGCAGCTCAATTATCGTTATTTAATACGGGGGTGTTTATTTACCTATCGTTGCGGTGCAAAATAGTCTCCGATCGCTGCACAGGCGCGCGCATTACCGATCCGCGTCCGTGACGTACGTAAAGTCGGTATTTTGCATCAGACGCCGGATCGCCGCGGCGACGTTGATTACGTTCTCTCTCTCCCTCTCTTTCTCGCGTGCGCGACCGGAGTGCATATATTGTATAATATAAATGTTAGTATCGACATGCACACACGTGACCTCTTTGAATAATCCGCGCCGAGCTTTTTTTCATATTGAGTTGTGGCATATCGCAGCGTTTAAAAATTCTTACGCTTTTGCGTAATTATCGTACTAGAATTTTTTATTGTTTATACAAATTCTTGAAATCCCTGAACGCTTAGTGTATACGCAAGACTTTCATTTAATGCGCGGCTTTAAAATCTCTGAAGTGAAATAAATAGGATAATATTTGCAGATAATGCGAAAGGGAAATTGAACTGGTTTACGTAACGACAGTTTCGCTACTTTTAGTTAATGCCTGAATCGATGATTTTTGTTTATTTTCAAAATTATTTACGTCTTTTGAGCAACTTTACACGTATGTATAATGGTATACATTTTAAGTTAACTATATAATGGATCACATAAAGTTTCCCAGGAATTATACGTTGAAATAACCACATTGAAGCTATTTGTACTTTTATCTAAATCACTTCATGTGTTTACTTTAAGCCACATGTATACATTAATGCGTTCCCTTCGTATCCGGCGCGCGAAAACAAAATAAAAATCACCCGAATAATTCTTTGTCACACATTAAACTGATTTTAACTCGTAATTCACAGTTGTTATTTTAGGTCTGGATACGCACCGGAAATAAGTGAATTGATAAACCTTTAATGAATAAACAAGTTTCTATTTGCGCACAAACTCTTAATATTACACAAGTTATTATTAAAATTACGAATGTATTTTTTAAACACGGCCATTGAGTAAATATATTTATTAAAATAAGTTGCCTTAAAAACTATGACGAGTGTTTCATAAAAGTAACCGGAAGGTGACAATTACTACGGATGGCATTTTTTCTTAATATTTAGAATTTATTTAAATATCAGGGAAAATTAGTTCTCTAAGTGCGAAGAAATTTTGTGTAATTTGCAAATGTACGTATTTTTCTGGAAACAGAGAATTGTGCACATTCAGATGACATGAGGCAGCTTACAAACTTCATCTTGGCAAGCCCCGGGATCTTTTCCATATTTCATTAACTTAAACGGGGTGCTCCACTACTCTTGAAAAGTGGAAATCGAGAACACAACTCTCGTCTATGTATAGTACCCAAATAAAAGCACTGAGACGATGTATACACCCAGCATATGGAAATCTCAACGAAATTCACGCTCAAAAGACTCCCTTCATGGTCACGAAGGGCAATTTCGTGTTGTACTTTTTTTTTATTTCGCGCATTCGTAAAGTCGAAGGCGGTAGAATGTCTGCTGGGATCATCGATGCACTCTCGCTCTCGTTAATCGTCCCGTACTCGGGCTCTCGCAAGCTCTCGTTCTACTTTCAAGTCGATATAATAAAGCTTCTTTCCGCGAATAATCGACTATGAACACACATGCGCACGGTGTAAAACGTATGAATGCAGTCGTATACGAGTACGTATATTACATACACATGCACATTAAACAACGCGGCTAAAAGGCATCTTCACGCGATCTGAAGAAGAAAGAAGGGTAAATCTATATATGCTACATATATCGGTATTTATAGCTGAAGTAAAAGCGCTTAACGATATAAGCTTTCGCTCTCGAAATAGCGCATACATGCGCAAAACGAGAGAAACATAGTTTTTTAAAGCTCTCGGTCCGATGATGTTTTCTCGCCCGCGGCATATGTCAGGAATGTTTTTTAGAGGGGTAAAAAATTCACTGGGAAATTTAAAAAAGAACCTGCAAAATTATTCGCATGGCTCTATTAATACTCCTTGTTTACATTCTTGCCTCCTTAATTTAATGTAAAATACCACGCACGAATAAAATGCACAAGAATAAGTAATCTTTTCGACTGCATAATGTGATCAGACGTAATTAAACGAAAATGACTTTCGTGTCTTGAACTACTTCGTTGAGAGGAAACGCAATTTCAAACAATGTAAATGAATTATAGTTACGCTTTTCGATTTCTTACAGCAAAATGCTTACACTAATGCAATAACGAGCACAACATCACAACATTTTATTAATTTAATTAAGTAATATAAAAGCGTTTTAATAAGATCCCTGATAGAAATGTTTAATATGCAATGGCTAATTTTGGTCAGCGTTTAAGTTTCTTGATTATTGAAAACCACTAAAGCTGGAAAAGACTAATCCAAAAGTGGAATGTTTTTTTCAAAAATTTCGGCTGTGTATAAGACATCAACATTAATAATAAAACATACTTATCCGCTAATAACGGTTCTAAAACCGAGCTTTGTGTTATGCAAGCATTTTGATTTTGCCACTTGCAGATTTACGGATAAAGGTACTTGCCATCTAGTGGTGAAGGCATGAACAATATTACTATACATCAAGTGGTTGAAAAGTCGTCTTAATTTTTTGAAACGGTTGAAATGACAATTTTAGCTCATTTAAATGCGTTTAACATTGTGAAATTTGCCAAAAACAAGCTAATTAATGGTCATATATCTTAGATTTTAAATAATTATTTTTTGGTCATCAGAAAATTGTCAATGTTAAGCATTTTTACCAGGGAAATTGTTACAAAATAGGCTTTGTCGATACAGGAACCAAACGTACATAAAAGAAAGTTGAGGAAAAGAACAGCAGCAGCAGCAACAACAACGAGCAGACAGCATAAATACTGATATATCTACCTCCCACGTGCAGGTGGACGTGATTTCAATCGTATAGCTACTTCGCGCATAAATACGTAACAAGCACATGGCGTACGTCTCGCGCGCGCGCGGGCGTACAC